TTTTTTTTTTTTTTTTTTTTAAGTTGTGAAGTATTTTGTTGGTGTGAACCAGCAAAGTTGGAGAAGGCTCTAAAAAGTTACTTTGCTGAGAACAGTAAGAACCAAGAAAATCTATCATGGCAGAAGGATCTAAAACATAATCTATGGCCATGTTACACATAAAAATATGCAAAAGAGCACGCAGTTTTACTCAAGATTAAGAGCCTATTTGGATTGGCTTATTTCAAGTGCTTTTAAGCCAAAAGTAGCTTTTAAGCAGTTTATAGTGTTTGGGCAAAATAAAAAAAATGCTTATAAGCGTTTGTTTTCAAGTCAAAATAACAAAAATTAGCCAAAAGTCATACGTTAGAATTTCTAACTTATGGCTTGACTTATAAGTCATAAGTCAAAAGCCAATTCAAACAGGCTCCAAGACTTTCTACCTGAAAAGTGGAAAGGCAGGAGGATCTGCATGGTTCATGTTCATTGTGCAGTGTTTCCAAGTCCTCCACATTAGCTTTATTGGTCCATTCAAAGTTTAATGTTTGGGTTACATACTAAAATTCAAATTCAAAAAAAATGTTTGGCTTACATACGTTCTTTACCTCTCCAATATTACCTTTTTTTTTTGGATAATCGAGAAAATTTCCCAAGAGTTGGTGGTGCACAGTTTGAAAGTCCGTAGATAGTGGGCCTGCTCCTCTGCCCTTCTTCACTTAAATACCAAGATTCTGTTTGCGGCAGAATATAATTCCGTGACACGCACCTAAACCACACCTGATACTTTGCGCTCTTATCACTCGGACCAAAGCCCTCGGTTCACCTCCTCTAGTTGTACTAAACAACACAAAGGCGAAGGATGAATTCTTTTCTTGGTCACAAAAAGATTAACCTGCCCCATTTACACTTCCTCTTCTCTTGCCCTCAAGAAGGAAAATAGCGATGCCATATTAGTATGTTCTGGTCTCATTGCGTGGGGAGTCATTGACATAAATAGTGAACTCCATCTGCTTGGTGCTCATGCAGTCATGCTGCTGCTTTTATATCAGTCAGGACATGATCTCTATTTTTACAATGGTCTACTGTATCAATAACTTTGAGTTGTTCAACCACAAGTCTTCAGTGTGCTTCTTTCTGACTTTTGATACCTGCTTTACCAGCAACTAGCAAGTGCAGTGAATGCATATAGGTGCCTCTTCTTGAAACTCCGTTGTGTTTGTTGTTGTATTTTCTTCCTCTTAGTTTGCAGATGTTCTTCCAGCTGTAGGATGTGGAAGTTAACTAATCTTTTTATGTTGTGTGTGGATTCTAAGAACTTTAGCTTTTCAGTTACTTGTATACCTTACCCTCATTAGTTTTGCTACCAGGAAGTTGCAGCTGTTGGTGGGAAGAACACTAGTTTAAAAGTGGGCCGTAAGACTTCCAACAAGCAGAAGGAAAGCCTTCCCAGCACCACAGCACCTCTTGGAAAGGGTAAACAAAGTAAATTAAGCTCATCTGGAAATGCTAAAATGGGTAGAGGCAGAGCTGCTAAAGGTCAAAAAAAGGTTGAACCGTTGGTCAAAGAGGAAGGTGAAATGTCAGATAATGAGGAAGTTTATGAGCAGTTTAAAGAGGTGAAATGGATGGAATGGTGTGAAGATGTGATGGTGTATGAGGAAAAAACGCTTAAGCGTCTTCAAAGATTGCAAACTACTAGTGCTGATCTCCCTAAGGACAAGGTTAATATTCTAAATTCAGTTCTCTCTCTCTCCCTCTATTTCTATCTCTCTTTCAATGGGTCTGAATCTTTTTATCGCACCAGGTGTTGGCCAAAATACGGAACTACTTGCAGCTTCTTGGTCGCAGGATTGATCAAATAGTTTTCGAATATGAGAACGAATCACATAAGCAAGAAAGTAAGCCTCTTATGTTATCATTATTTGGCTTAAGCTTTATAGTTTATAACTTACTGCTCCTTCTCGAGCCCCTCTCTACCTGAAGTGGAGGTGTGGGTGCATGAGTCCTTTTCTCTTAGTTATGAAACAGCATATGAATGTGGAAATGGAACACTATGCTTTCTCTCTTAATTTCTCTCTTCCTAAATGCATTAGTTAACAGGGCTCATTTAAAATTTGGCTACAGGGATGACAGTCCGTTTATGGAATTATGTCTCAACATTTTCAAATTTGTCTGGCGAGAAACTTCGTCAGATTTATTCTAAACTTAAACAGGAGCAACATGTAGAAGGACGGGTAGGACCGTCACAATTTAATGGTTCTGCACCTGCGCATCCAACGCCAGGTTTTATTCCCCGAGGTTTTGATGCAGCCAAATTTGAAGCATGGAAACGAAGGAAAAGAGCTGAAGCTGATGTTCATTCGCAAGTTCAGCCCCAACATCAAAGAGCTTTGCCTAATGGTACACGCCTTCCTGAACCCAACTTATCATCAGGGATTCTTGGCGCAGCTCCTTTAGATAGCAAACAGTCAGGTAATGGTAGGCCTTACAGAACACATCAGTCTGGCCTGCCCCAGAGACCAAGTTTCTCATCCGGTCCCAGATAGCGTCTTCTACTGGACATAAACTGCCATGGTGCACCTGCAGGAAAGCCATTCAATTTTGTCTCAGTGGCTTTTGCTGCTTCGATCTAATATTCTTTACCTGGAATTGCGTTGGTCTATGGGAATACAATTTTTTGCTAATTCCTTGGCCACATACCTGCTATTCTGAAGCCAACTGTAAACCAAAGGACTGCATCATTTAGAAGCCAGAAACGGTGAACTTGGAGGCGCCTTTCCTAGATCCAGGAGATGAAGATTTGGTTACATTGAAATTTCTAGGGCACCGATTTCTTCCCTTTATAGATAAAATCCCAGTCTTTTTTTGTTGTGAAGTATATAATGGATAGTGAAAGAGCATTTCCTTAGGTCATATGTGACAGTTTGTCACAGTCTGTATGTATTATGCTTTTTGCGAAGTGTACATTATCAAATTTTGCTTATTCAATAACTCAACATTATTCTTTACTCCACTTGACTACTTCTCTTCTCCATTGATTAGTTTTCTGCATTTACTGGTTTCTTCATGCACGCCGCCGCCGCCGATGTGTTTTTACCAGGTTTAGAGTTTTACCTTTTTATCTTGCATTACCATAAGGTACAGCTCAGTTATGTATACTTGTGACGAGAGCTCACATTCAATTTCTTTACTGTGTTGAGGGTCTCTGTTTATATTGTTACTGATTCTGGTAATATTAACATTGCTATTGATTATTTTTTCATGTATAAATAAACTAAGCAGAATTGATTCTCAGTATTGTGTTGATGAAGTCACGAACAACTATCAACGAATATCATTGAATGGAAAATTGATAAGAATAACTTTAGTGTATTGATTTCAAATTTAGATTATATAGTGTCTATCGAGGATTTACAAAATCAAATATATATTTTGAAACTCAATTTGCTTTTATTATATCTTATTCAACTAGACTATTGAAATTCTACACTTAAGACCTTATATTCAAAATTAAGTGTATTAAAATATAAATTAGAATTATAAATAAATAGTTTTCTAATGTAATTTAAGATAATAGGAAAATACGTCAATAAAGATATTTAACAAAAATATTTATCTTCTTCATGAAATTTCATTAAAATAAATTCATAAATATTAAAATTAATATACTTCTAGAATGTCTAAATATAATTTTTTATAGCATAAAGAATATGCGTGTTTGATTTTAAAATACAAGTGGCACATCTAAAAATAAATAAATAGAGTCATATTACAATTTACAAGGACCTTTAATTAGCACTTAATAATAGAAAATTAGAGAAAACAAAAACCCCAAAAGGAAAAAAAAAAGAGAAATATAAGAATGTTTGGAAATTGGAAGTATTAAATTATAATTAACAAAGTTTTTTAGTAATAGAACAAAGTGGGGGTCTTTTTTTTTTTTTTTTTTCTCCACAAAAAGAATTTAGTTAAAGAACAGCCATTGTTATTCACGCTGCTGCTGCTGATTTTTTCCTTCTTATCTGCGATGGTGAGAAGTCAATTTATGCCTTTTGTTTGTTTTCAACTTTGATTTGTCTTCTTTTGTTGTTGTATGTTTCAAGTTTCAATCTTTTTTGGTTTATGTTTCAGCTAAATTTTCAGTCTTTTTTGCTGTATGTTTCGATTTTGGTTCATGGGATTGTTTAAGTTTTGTTGAGTGGTTTATATTATATCTGTATATATGCATTTGGGGGTTTGTGGGTATTGAAAATCTTGGATTTTGATGGAATCATTGAGGCGAATAATCTTGTAGTCAATCAAGTTATGCCCTTTCTTTATCTTCAGCTTTGATTTCACTCTTTTTTTTGCTATATGTTTCAAATTTCAATCTTTTTTTGCTATACTTGTTTCAGCTAAATTTTCACTCTTTTTGCTGTATGTTTCAATTTCCATTCATGGTGAGTTAATTCATGGAATTGTATAATTTCTGTTAAGTGATATACATTATATTATATGTATTTGGGTTTTCTGGGTACTGAAAATCTTGGTTTTTAATGGAATCATTGAGGCGAACAACCCGTCTAAAGCTTAGCAGCCAATCAAGTTATGCCCTTTCTTTGTCTTAGCTTTGATTTTGCTCTTTTTTGCTATATGTTTCAGCTACATTTTCACTCTTTTTGGCTGTATGTTTCAATTTTCATTCACAGTGAGTTAATTCATGGATTTGTATTAATAGCTGTCTCTTTTCCGCTTCAACAATGATCTTTCAGTTGGATTTTATGGAACTTTTAACAACTTACAAATTCTTATAATTTCAGATGCGTGTGAATGTAAAAATTCAATTATCTTCGTTATGGTTAATATTTTAGTACAGAACATACATTGGCACAATTACGAAGTTGCTCCTTTGGTTACATGCAGGTTATGTGTTCAATGCGTGGAAACAGCCTCTTTACATAAATCCAAAGGAAAAGTTGCTGATAATATATGCCCGCCCTTCTACCCTGGGGAGTATTTCATTTCATGTACGGGGTAGGCCTTCCTTTTTTTTTTTTTTTGGTACAAATACTTTTTGACAAGTTACATTGAGTATATTCCTTTTCTTTTGCCTCTAATCATTTTTTCAGAAAATGTCTTGATAATGGACTGTAAGAAGCTTCAAGAAAGGTAGTAATTGATTTGTTTGTCTGTGGATGTGGGAATAAGTGGGGTATTGGAGTGAAGTTGTTTCTCTGATCTGTTTGCTAGTAAATCTGAATCCCATTAAAATGGTGCGACGGGGATTGGAGGGCTGTGATATTTTGTTTGACATATCCCGTTTAGGGAGAAAGAGGGCATACTCTTGGAATAAGGAATCAGAGTTTGAAAATAGTGATATTTTTCGTTTCAAAAGGCAGATTAGAAAAACTAGGAATATTGATGAAGATTATGTACAGTATTTGATGCTTCTCCTTGACTATGATGAAGAGTCTAAGTGTTGCACAAATGAAGGCAGAAAGGAAGGTCCCGCTGTTGCTAGAGATAGGTTTAATTATGACATGGATGAGGATGTGAATGAGTATGAGGATGATGAAGACGAGGATGAGGATATTGATCCAGACTACAGGAAGTTTTTGGCTAATGCTAAACCAAATGGGAACTCATATATGGTTAAAATTGATAGAAGTGTTGGGTTTCCTGTGTTTGTAGAGTTTGAGAAAGAGGATGGATCTGATGGAGAGTTTGAATATTTAGGACAGAGAAAACAGCAGGGTTCTGGGGATGAGGAGGATTTAGGTAATGTCAGTTGCAAAGATAAAGTAGAAAGTCAGCCATTTTCAAGAGTTGTCCTGGAAAATGATGATAATAGATCTGCAGGAGACAACAATGCGGTATTTGAGCCTTCTGATCCTGTTACTCCGATGGAAAAAGGGCTTACGAGCCGGAAGCCTAGCTTGGGGGAGGATGGTGAGTGCAAGAGGCGTCAGAAGGGTGAGACGAAGAATAGATCAAATAAGGAGCAGAAGAAAGGGAAAGGGAGAAAATCAGCTAAAGTTACTACCAAAGAAGAGGGAGCTGATATAGATGAAGACTATTCCTATCTTCTGGAGAAATTTATATGTAAGAATTGGAGCACGACACCCTCATTTAGGAGGAAATATAATATAAAAAGTAAGAAATCATCAACGACTGTCCTGGAAAATGATAGCAATATTTCTGTGGGAGACATAGATATGACACATGAGCTCTCTGATACTCTATCTCCAAAGAAAAAGAAGAAAAAGGGGCTTACAAGCCAGAAAAATAGCACGAAGGGAAATGATGCATTCAAGAGGCAGGAAAACAGTGAGAAAAGGAAAAAATCAAACAAAAAGCAGGCGGGCCGAAAAAGGAGAAAATTAGCAGATGTCCCTTTAAACGAAGATGTAGCTGGGAGAAAATCAGTAGATGTCACTGTCAAAGAAGAGATAGCTGATGTAGATGAAGTCTCATTTAAAAGAGGTAACAAATTTGAATGCGAGGCTGCTGATGAAGATCTTCAAATAGTTGTCAGTGGTGATTGTACATTTGGAAAGGAAGGAGACTCTAATCTCGTGGAAGCTTCTTTATCAAAACACTGTGAAAATGTATGATCCTCCATTCTCTGCTTCTCCTCCCCATTTTATTTTATCCTCCCTATGCCTGCTTTCTTTCTTCGTTAATTTGAAGTTTTTGGAATTATTTTGTTGTGATGCTTATATATTGATGATACAATGAATATTAAGGTTGAGGATAGCTTCCCAAGGAAAACTGAGCGTTCTGATTTTTGGTGGAATGTCAAGGCTCTTCTTGAGAGGCCTTACGATCAGAAGGAATATATCGGATTGTGGAAATCTGTCAAAAGTAGAAAGCCTACTCTAAAGGATATGGACTTGCGTAATGGGAAATTTTACTCGACGAGGCGGTTGGGAAAATCATATTTGGATCATTATAAAGGTGAGCTAAACATCTTAAATACTTTATGCATTGATGATATGGTTTGCCTTACGTTTCAAAGTGGTGCTACTCCTCCTTGCCTGGTCCCAATGCTGCATTTCAACCAGTGTCTTGTCCATAGACATTCTGATTTTTTAGAACATTTGCAAATTTGTTTGTCAAATGGTTGTAATCAATTGCTGAACTCAATCCCTCCTGATGTGTACACATTATTATGTTAATTTTCTTTTCGATAAGGAAGTCTTGTGTTAATTTTCCTTTCTAAATTTTTAAAACAATTTAAATTCTTCAGCCCCTGAACCTCAGTATATTATTTCTCAGTTGCTATTGCAAGATTTTATGTCAACTGAAAAGAACAAATATTAGAATGTATTATGAAGTAACATAGTTATTAAAAAAAATTCCAACCAACCAAAACTCAGTGTAATTTCTTTTAAACATAGGTGTTTTTTTTAAGATTCAAATTACTGCAAGATTTGTGGAACTCTTTTCTGCTACCCTAGGCATAAATTTACTCTCTCATTCCAGCGAAGGTGTGGAATTATTCTTGACCATTGTTTCAGAGTCAGACCTCAAACAACCAATAGTTTAATATTGAGTTAATTACACTAAAACATCCTTGTAATATGACTCAGTTTCAGATACATCCCCTGTATTTTACAATGAAACAGTTATAACCCCTATATTATTGAAATTCTATACTTACACCCCCTACGAGGTATATCCATAACTAACAACAACAACAAACCCAGTGTTCACACCTTCCTTGAGAAGATAGAGAGGATGTTTCTGATAGACCCTCAGCCATATCCATAAATAAGTGTATTAAAGTATAATTATTACAGACATATTAAAATTATAACTAAAAAAAGTTTATATGCATGAAATTTCAAAAAAGAGGATAACTATTTTGTTAAAAATCATTATTCGCGCCTTTTGAAATTTATATCTTTGAAACTCTTAAGTAAGAAATGAAGACAAATTACTGAATAAGATGACTTAAATTTTTATGTATTTGGACCATGGATAGTTTGTGGAGATTTTAATGTTACTAGATACCCATCAGAGAGAACAAACTGCCGCAGACTTAGTGGAGCTATGACAGATTTCTCCTCTTGTATTGAGGAGCTGGAGTTGATTGATCCTCCTTTATTTGGAGGATCTTATACTTGGAGAAGAGGGGACAATCATACGAGTGCTTCAAGAATTGATAGATTTCTTCATTGTGCACAATGGGGGGAAAGCTTCATTCACATCAAACAAAATGTCCTACCAAAAATAACATCTGATCATAATCCTATTATGCTAACATGTGGTGGTTGGGAATGGAAAAAATCTTATTTTAAATTTGAATCTTGGTGGTTGGAGGTAGAAGGATTCAAAGACAAGGTAAAGGAATGGTGGGATTCTTTCAACATTGAGGGGAGAGCAGGATATATATTAGCTGAGAAAATGAAATTGTTAAAGGTAAAGATGAAAGAATGGAGCAAAGAAAACAAAGGTAACTGGAAGCAGAGAAAAGAAGACATTTTAAGTCAGATAGCAAACTGGGAGATAATACAGGAACACAGAATGCTTACTGATGATGAAATTTTACAGAAGGCAAATCTGGCCATGGAGTTTGAAGAGATAGCCAAGAAAGAGGAGATAGCATGGAAACAAAGATCCAGGGTACAATGGTTGAAACATGGAGACAAGAATACAAAGTTTTTCCACAGAATCGCCACCTCTCATAAGAGGTTCAATACTATGGAACAACTTGATATAGAAGGTAACATTGTGAAAGATCCAGCTATGATCAAGGAGGCTGTCCAAAATTTCTACATAAATTTATACAAGGAAGCTGAACACTGGAGGCCTGATCTGAACATTCAAGATGTTAATATGATAACTGGAGAGGAACAATTATGGTTGCAAAGACCTTTTGAGGAAGAAGAAATCCTAGAAAGTATTAGGACTCCAAAGGCGGATCTAGGATTTGAAGTTTATCGATTCCTAAAGTGACCTCATTTAATGTACAATATTAATTGGACACGTAGTCAATTATTTATAGATATCTAGTAGATCTTGGCAAAAGATACTGCTTTTCGGGAACCCGTAGGTTTATTACCCTGATCTGCCACTGCCCCACCCCGTCACCACTATAGAAAGGTGAATACCAACTCTCCAGGCGAAAATAATTATAAAAATAAGCAACTACACTATCAACTCAAATCCTTCATAGTGATCATAATAAAAGGAAAAGAGAGAATGGGGAGATGCGGAGTTAAAACTTGCAAAAAGAATTCTGGAACTGAAGAAACAATACCTCAACAGGGGTCTAGGCGGCTTCAATTTATCAATACCATCTTGAGTAATGCCATCTGTAATAAATCTGTTGCTGTTTACTTCCGGTAAGGAGTCCGCAAGTTCTTTAAGGCCCTGTAACAAGATTAGTGAAGTCAAATGCTAGTGAAATTACAAAGGTTCCTGATATTCACTGAGCGATATGAAATGACAAGAAATATGAACCACAGCATATGCTCTAGTAGACGGACAATGAACAGTAACACGACAAGAAATATTCAAGTTAGCCGAAGTACCATCAGAGTAGGTGTAGAGTTGCCCACAATTGTAAGTTGTTCCTGCAGCAGGAAGTTATGATTAAAAAAGATATTGGTAGCAAGCATCAACAACCCTAAACCATCAAAATATCATACCATAAAAAAAGAGAAGAAAAATAGGCTCATAGAGCATAAAATACCTTAGAAAGTTTCACAGTTTTTTAATGTATGTAATAAAAATCTTTATTATCTCCACTGTATTTTATTCTTGCAATGCTCCTCCCAATGTTTTGCAAAAAATATCTCATACACCAAAATATCCATGACTCAACTTTACCAAAGTCATTAATAGTTTTGGTCTATTTGTCAGAACTCTTCTCTAAGGGAAGTAAAATTACTGATAAAGCAAAATTTTCCATCTCACTTTCACTCCAGGACTAAAATCAGAAACATTAAGGCAAAATTGTTATCCAATTATGTGGTCTTTGGATCATAGTATAAGTATCTTAAGAGGTTCTCTCCATGCTTTAAATACGAAAAACTTCAAGAAAATCATATCATGCACGGAGAATAATCAAGTAGGGTGGTGTTTGGACATGAATTGAGTGATATTTGAAAAAAGAAAAAAGTAGTAGTATTTGAAGTTAAGTCGAAAAAGAGTGTAAAATTGTACTTGAAAAAATGTTAAAAGTTTGAAGGAACTTTTTTAGAATAAGGATACTTATTTCGTTTCTGGTTCACTAAACGTATCCACACTCCCGAGCCTTCCGATGCAGGGAGAGAATTAGAAGCATAAGTCAAACAACATTTTAGTGGAAAAAGTTACTTGAACTAACAATTGTACGAACCTGCAGTGTCTCAGGCATCTTCACCTTTTTTCCATTGATAAAATTACACAGGTACATAACACCAGCATTTGCAAGCTCCTGTTATCAACAGTAAGTGCAATACTTAGTACTGAATATCAATCAAGATGACTGGGAAAATAGATATTCGCTACTAGTTCCAGAAACCACATATTAGACCTTTTTGGCTATTAATAATAATGAACAGAATTTGTAGCCTAATAGCTGAAATAACAATTTTTTCAAATTACCTGCTTGCCTTCCAAAGAAAGTAACTTGCCATCCTACAAATTCAAATATAGTTGAGACAAAAAGATCAGTAGGTAACAGATATTTTATGAAATACAAATGTCAATATATGTTTACATATGGGTATTAGAAATTTGAGAATCCAAAACAAGAGCCTTTTGATGAAGTGGTTGTGGAGATATACTAGTGAGGAAGGAACCCTATGGAAGGAGGTGATAGTGGCAAAGTATGGGGAATTGAACCCATGGTGTACAGAGATAGTGTCAGAACCCTATGGATGGGGAGTATGGAGGTCAATCAGAGCTTTATGGAACTCTATGGAAGAAAATGTGTTTCTCAAAATTGGAAATGGCAACAAGATCAAGTTTTGGAGAGATGGATGGATTGATCAAATTCCTCTAAGTGAGTCATTCCCAGATCTTTTCTCAATCTGCAACAATCCTGAAGCCAGAGTATGTGAATGCTGGACAACTCAAGGCTGGGACCTATCTTTCAGAAGGCTATTGAATGACTGGGAAGTAGATAGAGTGGCTTCTTTCCTGGGAAAATTGGGGGGAATCAATCTAGTAACAAATGCACCAGATAGAGTTATTTGGAAGCACAACAAGGATGGCAAATTCACAGTAAACAGTGCTTACAAGAAAGGCATACAAGTTGGGGTTAGAGGCTACCATCATCACTGGAAGAGTATTTGGAGAGGACTGACCCCCACCAAAGTGAAATGCTTCACTTGGTTAGTCATCAAAAGAGCCTGCTTAACTCAAGAAGTGCTGCAGAAGAAAGGAAAGCAACTAGTCCCTAGGTGTTTCCTGTGCAATTTGACTGGGGAAACAAACAATCACCTATTTTTACATTGCAAATTCACTGCACAGATCTGGGAGCTGTTTCTCAACATCACATGCTATAGCTGGACTATGCCAGAACACACCTCTGATCTTTTTAAGTGTTGGATCAGAAGAGGGGGTAGCAAGACTCAAAAGAAGTGGTGGAAGCTAATACCATCATGCATATGGTGGTCAGTGTGGAAGGAAAGAAATGGGAGATGTTTTGAAGATAGATCTAATTCCATTCACAAAGTAAAATGAAATTGTTTGGTATCTTTACTTTTTTGGTGTAAACAACTTTGCATAGAAGATGTAGATCAAATTATAGAATTAATAGGGAGCTTGTAATTTCGCTTAGGGCTGTAAATTTTGAAGGTGGCCAGCATGTCCTTAATGCTGAAGAATACAACTTTACCAATGTTCAAAAATTTTTTTTTTTTTATGTATTTGGCAAAATGCTTTTATCTTTCAAAACTCAAGTAATTTGTCTTGGCAGAGGGCAAATATGCTAGTTAGTAGAAGTATTAAGCATCAAATTTTGTTAAAAGTTCTAACTTTAGCATATAGGATGGTCACTAATAATACATTATCTCAAATTGAATGTTTATGTATGAACCGGCTAAAATAATTATCAATCTAAAGTGAGGTTACTGTTTACAAAGGTGCACTTAAAAAGCGCTCAAGCCCTAAAAAGTGAGGTGCAAAACATGTTCAGCGCTTCACTTCATTTAGCGGGTGCTTCACAATGTCATCATCAAGGCTCTAAGACATACTTTTCCTTGTCAATAAGCATAATTCTTGACATTTCACTTTATCTTATTTCTTTTTCCAGTTTCTCTGTCCATATATTGTTTTTCATACTTATAGTTATTAGTCTTGGACTACATATTTTTATGTTTTCTGTTTTTGCACCTTCCTTCATCAAAACCCATGCTTTATTTGCGCTTAAAGCCTCAACATACTAAGAGTTTTTTTTGCATTTTTCTCCTAATTTTGCCGTTTTGATTCACCTAACATATACATTGATAGAGGAAGCCTTAGTGGTTAGTTTGATTAAAATTGTCCAAAAGTTGATTCCATCCAACCATGCTTTGCCTTCACTTAAATTTTCTTGGGAACTTTTTCTCTGTATTCTCTGCAGTTATATACTATAAACAGCATTTGATCTCTGTGATTCAGTCAATCGTTATTTAAGTTTCACTGTAAATGCATTATGTATTGATTGTCCACCTTTAAACCTGCAGACCTTCATGAAAAACTTAAAGAAGTTGACAACGACAACATAAAGCAGCTAAACATCTTGCGCGGTTTTTTCTTTTGGTTACAGGTGAGTTGCTCATATTTTGAATAATGAATTGTGTAATGCATTCCTTTGGCTGGACTTCTTGGCCGCCTACATATGTTTGTCATGTCTACAGCATACATCATAATCTCCCTTTTTGATAGGGAGCATTCATCATGTATCCCCTCACTTCATTGCCTCGTGCGTCCTCCGTCATAGCAACATCCTCTAGGGCCAACACCACTACGCATGCTTCCCCCCCTCCTTGTGTGGTAGTGTGAACCTGCATGGGAAGGTCTTAGAAGGCTGCCCATCCAAAAGCATCTGGAGCTTCCTCGCTCAGTGACTTTGGGAATACACTTACAATGACTTCCGGAATAACTGATCAATATAAAAAGAAATTGTTTTATGGACATCCATTTTAAATACACAGCTTAACGCACTTCACAATTGTATAATTGCTAGTCCAGTTAGATTTCTGGAGAAAGCAATTAACAACATAATCCTTTTATTAATAGTAAGTAACATATTATAGTCATCTGACCTCATTAGTAAGTAATTTTGCTTAGTTGGAATTCCATCTTGAGTTGTGTCTCATTTAATTTCGTGAGTGCATTTACTCTAAGCTTAATTCCCCACACTTTTTTTATCTTTCTGGTTAGCCCCCCAGACTCCACTTGTGGGATTACACTAGATTTGTTATTGTTTTTGTAGTAAGTATGCTGATATAAGACAAATCATCATTGCTTTTGGCATCTTGTCTGACTTTTGATTTACCTATATTCAAACTTTCACGTGACTCGCAGAATAATAATGTTCTGATAATTGGTGAGTTGATCCAATTGAAGATAAACCTTTTTTTCTTTTTGGTTTCCGTTAGAATCCAATTGAAGCTTTTAAAACAACTTAACTTTCATATTCGCATGCTGGTTGGGTGCAACTATTATAAGAGTGACTTGAGCATTGATCTCATTCGTCTAGTCTAGTCTGAGGAATGTCTTTCTGATGGATTGATGAGACATAAATTCTGTACTTTTTATTTAAACAGCAATTACAATAATCCCATATTTGAGACAATATCTCTGCTTCTTACTATGTTCTGTTCATCACATTTTTAGTACTTGACACGTTTAGTTTACAACATAAACTCCATGATTGTTCTTTTGTGGTTGCTAGAATCTCACACAAAAAGGAGCCTTCAGGCCGTGGACAGATCCAGAGTGGCTCTCATTGGTTGATAATTCTATTGTTCCAATGATTACTTCCAATGAATAATCAAGCTGGGACAATTTGGTGAAAGATGTTACCAAAGTTTGCTATGCTGAAGTCAGAAATTATACAGTGTGTTGTCCGTTTTGGTATTGGATTATCTTGCTATCTTTTTTTTTTCTTTCTTATAACATTGTAGTTCTCCTCTGGAAGATTTCACCCCTCTCAGTCTGGTATAATGCCCGGAAATGTGTTATATTAAACTGGCAGTTGTTGATTTACCTGAAGTTACTTCTTTACAAAGGATGTAAAGGGGATTGAAGTCACTTTATGCAAAGAAATTCTGGGGTGATATCTTCATCTGCTTGTGTTTTGTGTTTACTATCTATTGCTTTCCTTATGGCTTATTAGTTGTCATGTTTTCTTCACTGTCGTTTTCCCTTTTCATAACTACTTTGATTTGTTGCACTTGAGCCAAAGGTCCTTCGGAAACAACCTCTTTACATCTACGAGGTATGTGTAAGTTCTGTGTACACTGTGGTATGTTGTTGTTATCTTCAACTACTCGTGTTAATTTCTTCTCTTCTTTCCCTTTTGCTGTCTTGTAGCCTGTTTACGTTCCCTTATTATGTCGCCTTCTGATAACAATGCAAAAGGCGTAGGCAAAAGAGACCTTCCTTTTGTTCATGTCAAGACAATAGGACTTTACGCGCACCTGAGGGCCTATGCCCAAAGGAAAATATCGATCTGGTTTGTATAGATGTTGTAACTGAGTATTTTTGGAATGCAGTTTTTTGGAAGCTTTTCCTTTATTTGGACCGTCATTTTCTCATTTCCCTTGCCAGAAAGAGGTAAAAGTTACAAGGAAATTAAAGCAAAGAAAGCTCATGGTAAAGTAACGATTCATATAAACGATTTCAACTTATTTGGAACTACGACATAGTTATTGTATCGTAATCCTTACGCAATATCTCTATTAGGTACCTTTATTGAGTCATTCTCCAAACCTTCTTTCTATAGCATTATAAGTTGCATTTAGTTAGGAAAACTTCTCCTTCATTTCACTAGTTAAACTAAGAGCGTGAAATACTCTATTTTATAATGGTTATGTTCTATTCAACTTGCATGCGTCTCAACTAACCTATCGAGTATCTATTACTCACCACCAACAAAGGCATCAGGTTAACACTGGCTATTGCGACTTAACACGATTGATTTTGACCACTTACCTAAGGGGTGCAAGGCCATTTTTTTTTATAAATAAAGACATAATTTGGATGAGACATTAGAACAAACGGCTAAAATATAGAAACAAAAACAAATCAATGAAAAGGAAAGTAAGAAGATAACAAAAATATATGAAAATTGCTAGGTATAGCTATTGGTTTCCACAAATGAGGGAGTGGTTCATATAGGCCTTTTTATCATCTTATCTTTTCACAAATTCTTTCTCAACCTCATACACTAAATTAAGTGTTTATGTGGTCCTGTATTATGCTCTTGTGAGTAAAATAATAATAATAATAATATGGCTTTTTTTTATTTTTATTTTTCATCACTAGGTGTTCTCTAGTCATCTTGATAAGCTCTTTCATTTTTTTCTCCACATGTTATATTTTTCGTATCAATTTACGTGACACTTTTTAACTGAATACAAAATTTAAGGAAAAACAATTTTTTAATTTTATTATTTAAAACAAGTGATAGATATTTATGTCTAAATAAAAATAAAATAAGAAATTTAAAATTCATTGATTTGATTTAATATAAATATCGAGCGCTACTAATCAGATGAGTGAGGAAGAGAGGAGACGTGTGGTGCTTTGCTATACCCTCAAATTGTGGAGAGGTCCACATTTGGATTATTCTTAAACCATTAATTACTTTCTTTATATATTTTTTATTATTATTTTGAAAATATTCTTTTTAAAAATTATTCGATGTCTCAAAAAGATAAATACATATGTAAACAATTGTCTTATGTATAATTCAATTTTCTTCTTCATACTTGGTTTTTATACACTTCAATTGAGCTAAAAATCTATCGGAAACGACATCTCTAAATTCACAAGATGGGACCAAGAACGTGTACACACCACTCTTTCTAGACCCTACTTATGAGATTACACGGAGTATGTTATCGTTATTATACAAAAACAACTTTATAATAAATAAGTTATTAATAATAGAATGATCTTTTTCTCTAAATATTTGAGACAAAAATTATGGTTTTTTAGAAGTAAATAAACCAAAAAAAAAAATAAAAAAAATTGGACGAATCAAAATTCATTATTTTTTAAGCCACAGGATTGGCATCCACGTAAGTCACTTATCTGCCACGTCAACTCCAAAGTGGGACCCACATAGAGAGTTGAGTGGTATAAGAATTTGTATTTGTTGCTTTGGACTTTCCATATTTCCATTTGGCTTTGCTTCTCTGCTCTTCTCTGAGCCTGTTTTACTTATTATAACTGCATTTCAGGTACATACTCTCTTCTAAATTCATATATATATATTTATGCATGTGTATATATGAGTTTATGTTTTATGCACTGACGTTATAATTGTTAATTTTTACCTACAACGAGTTGCCTAGTGAAAGGTAGTCAGTTGAACATCTTTCGTCGAGAAATTGTATTGAGTGTGTGTTTTACGAGTTTATGTTATGTGCATTGGGAGGTTGGTTATGATGAGTACGAGGAGAGGTAAAGGTAGGTTGAAGAAGTATTGAGGAGAGGTATGTTTGCAAATTGGAGGTTATCGAGGAAATGACCCTAGATAGGAGATATGGAGGTCGAGTATTAGGGTAGAAGGATAGTAGCTAGTAGGTAGTCGAACGTTGTCTAGTTTTCCTTATCAGTACTGTAATTATTACTCTCAAATTTTATTATTACCTGTTGTTTTTCTTTGCTTTAGTTATTTTAGTATTTATTGTCGCTATTGTTTTCTTCTCTATGTTCAACACGATTGCTTCACTACTATGTTTTCTTTTCGTACTTGATTTTGTTATGCTTTACTTGAATTTAGGCTATATCAGAGACAATCTCTCCATCTTCACAAGGTAGGGGTAAGACTGCGTACACACCACTCTCCCCTGAACGCACTTGTGGGATTATTCTTGAGTATGTTATTGTTGTTAAATATTAAGTTCAAATATAACAAGAAGTTGAGTATGATTGTCTGATATCATAAAAATAGAGTAGTAACATGCTATAACCGGTTGAGTTTACTGACAGTGTAACTTTTTTATTATCGGGTATATAAGTTAAATTTGTATCATACATATATCTTATTGTATAACTCGTGCCATCTCGTTTTATGTAATAGTGTTTGACTGGATATAATATGTTATTTTAGTTTGATCCAAAAAATAAACAGGATTCTTGAAATTGCAAAGATGTATGGAATAATAATATTAGTAGATTTAAAAGATTATGTTCACAGAATTTAATTATTGATAATTTTACACCCCTTTTCATTTCTTTGACATTTTCCTTACTATTACCTAACATCTAGGCTGATATTGTGCTAAGTGCTCAACTGAGTCAATCAGAGGGAAAAATGAGTTTTTTCTTTGTTGAAATTAAATGAGACGGAAAATTGAACGGTGATCGTAGGGTGTGGCTAGCGGTTAATGAGGTGAGTGAAACACTATAGAAAACCTCAGTTCAAAGTTTGAACTGATGGAATAGTTGAAGTGACCACAAGCTGACTTAGACACCACCGTTATAAGAAAATATGTATTTGTTTAGTGTTTTGTCTAGCTATACAAGTGGTAAAACATCTGTTTTTCTAGTTCCTATTTGCCTTTCTGTTTTGTTTTGTAGAAATTGTGTAGTAATTGGAAGTTTCTTTTTGTGTGGATATATTGAAGGAATAAGGCGAATTTGTTTAGGGGGAGAAAATGGACTATGTTAATGGACCTGGAAGGAACCATTTGTTTGTTCCGGGACCTGTTAATATCCCGGAACAAGTTCTACGTGCTATGAACCGAAACAACGAAGATTACAGGTCCCCAGCTGTTCCAGCTCTCACAAAGACCTTGCTTGAGGATGTGAAGAAGATTTTCAAGACTACTAGTGGAACTCCATTTCTGTTCCCAACTACAGGTATCTTCTTGTTATTTGCATCCGAACAAGTTTGGTTTGGTATAGTTTGCTACTTATTTCAATTTTCCAGACAGGGGAAATACAAGTTGCTTTGGTTTTAGTCGTCTTGATTATCCACGTAGGAGTTAAAAATGACAAGATAAGATCTTATTTTAGCATTAGGATGAATCTTTTGCCTGTGAAATAGGACAAATTTGAAGAAAAAGATCTATATAGGCTATACCAAACTGTTTGAGATTAAGCCTTAGTTATGTCAGTACTTTTGCTTTAGGTTCAATATTCTTAAGGACTCGTTTAGTCCTGTCAGAGATTTATATGTCAACAGAAAATTTAGTGAACGGTCTAATGTTATATCATATTGAGTTGAGATGAGCTTGAATGGAGCAACATGAGTAGTAGAGATTCATATAGCCGACCTCAACTTGCTTGTGACTGAGGCATAGTCGTTCTGTTGTTGTATTTCGATAAGTCTTTTCAAATTGATCTTGTCCATCTTCTGTTATAACAATAAACAAAAGGTGATGGCTTTGCAGTAATATCTGCAACAACATCGATGAACGTATAATTTTAAGTAGTTCTTGTGGCTTAACTGTCGAACTTGTGATGGCCAAACTTCATATTATTTCCATGTGGCAGGAACTGGTGCATGGGAAAGTGCACTCACAAACACGTTGTCTCCTGGTGATAGAACTGTATCGTTCCTCATCGGTCAGTTCAGTCTGCTTTGGATTGATCAACAGAAACGCCTCAACTTTGACGTTGATGTTGTTGAGAGTGATTGGGGACAAGGTGCAAATCTTGAGGTTTTGGCCTCGAAAATTGCAGAAGATAAGTCTCATACCATCAAGGCGGTTTGCATTGTGCATAACGAGACAGCCACTGGAGTTACCAACAACTTGGCTACTGTAAGGAAAATACTCGGTAATGTATCTAAACTATGGCATTTTTTCTTTGAAAAATTGAATTCAGATAACAAAAAGTATGCATGAAATTCACTATCTCTGAAGTTTCGTGCTTGTTTCTGTTGATGCCTGCCAGATCACTACCAGCATCCTGCCCTCTTCCTTGTTGATGGAGTGTCCTCAATTTGTGCACTTGATTTCCGTATGGACGAATGGGGTGTAGATGTGGCACTTACTGGTTCCCAGAAAGCACTTTCCCTTCCCACGGGGCTCGGGATAGTCTGTGCTAGCCCTAAGGCTCTTGAGGCCAGCAAAACTGCAAAATCAGTGAGAGTTTTCTTCGACTGGAGCGATTACCTTAAGTTCTACAAGCTGGGAACTTATTGGCCGTATACTCCTTCCATCCAACTTTTGTATGGTCTGAGAGCAGCTCTTGACCTTCTTTTCGAGGAAGGCCTCGATAATGTGATTGCAAGACACGCTCGTCTTGGCAAAGCAACAAGGTAAAAGTAAAACCACTGTTAGTAACAAAATTTTCAACTTCATGGCATACATAATTGGAGATTCGTTCTTGAAACGGAGAAATGATATGTAATATTTTTAATGCAGACTTGCTGTGGAGGCATGGGGTTTGAAGAACTGCACTCAGAAGGAGGAATGGTTCAGTGATACAGTCACAGCCGTTGTTGTTCCTCCACACATCGAAAGTTCTGAAATCGTGAAAAGGGCATGGAAGCGATACAACTTAAGCTTAGGTCTCGGCCTAAACAAAGTTGCAGGAAAGGTTTTCAGAATAGGACATCTTGGAAGCTTGAATGAGGTAAACTACTGCAGATAACATGTCTTATTTTTATCGCGCATTTTGTGAAGATTAATAAAATGAAGATTGCGCGATCTCATTCCTCGAGCACGTGAAAGCATTCAAGAACATTTTAAAACAAAAATTCAGTATCATTTTTGAGTATTTGACTGATACTATGCATAAGCTTTTGGTTTGTTAGTCTATCGGCACCAGATACTCATCATCATCCAAGTTAAGGTCTGTTTCAACCTATGCTGCTCGGACTCTTAAAAATGACATTGGATGGGTGTCGGATCCTCTAAAAGTAGTACAATTTGTTGGGTCTGACGCGGCTGTGGCAACATTTTTAGAGAGTCTAAGCAGCATAGGTTTCAACTATATACTAACTAAACTAAAAGCATAACATCATCATCAAACAGTTAATTTATGTGTTATGGGCTCATATCTACATAAATTTCTGCTCCGCGTCAAAAGTAGTAGGTTCAGATGAACCTGACATCAATACTCTGCATCAACCTATGTCTTCAACTACTACTTGATACTCTTCCTTCATCACTACTCAGAGGCGGAACCATGATTTCAATAAATACTAATAACTTAGTTATAAATCTAACGTGTACATATTTAATGAATTTCTTCTATACAAATGCATTGTTTGAGGAAAAGCTACTTTCGATCGAACCCTTATCTAGGCTTCTACCTCCACTCCCTTATACAAGTAAAACTAACATATGAAACTCATATATATCCAGTCAAACACTGTCACATAAAACGAACCGGATGAGTAATCCTTTTATGTTACTATTTTCAACACGGATGGAAATGCATGCTACGAAAGATAGGGTCGAGTCTGATACATCAACCATCTCTTTTTATTATGATTACATAATAATTATTTTTTTTGTAGTTGCAACTATTGGGATGTCTTGCTGGAGTTGAAATGGTACTTAAGGATATTGGTTATCCAGTGAAGTTTGGTAGTGGAGTTGCAGCTGCTAGTGCTTTTCTGCAAAATTCAACTCCACTTATTCCATCAAGAATTTAATTCAATTATTATTATTATTATTATTGAAAGTATACAAAACCAATGCATGTAAATTATTCTCTTCATGTAACTTTTGTTTCAATGTTCAAATACTGGTTGAGAATACTTTTGTAAAATTGCAAAATTTCCTTCTTCTGATGATAACTATATGTGTTTTCTTTCTTCTGGCTCTTTTCCGAAAGTTGATGACTAGTCATAGCTATTACGTTGATACCAAAGAAGAGTTCGATCCAATGCTTTATTGATGGCTCTTTTGCCTTTTAAGTTTTGGTTAACATATGAATTGATTGAATCAAATGAAAATTAAATAAAAACTTGAGAGACCAGGCTAAATTAGACAGACTTAGTTTACCTTTTAATATTAGTATTTAATTTATTATATTTATAAAAAGCAAATTTTGATTTATATGAATATATTATATATAATATAATTTTTTTAATTTAATGATGCCTACATTAAACACTTTCTAAATTCTTTTTTAATTTATACTTTCCCGTAAGTTCAATTTTTGCTATTTTTATTTTCGTCAAATACCATTTATTACTCGCTTAATTCAAATTTATGTCACATATGTTTCATATGTTCCCTTCAAGGGAAATACTCTTTATCGAAGATTTATTATTCTCAAATAATTCAAAAGCAAAAAAATTAATTGGAAAAAAGCAATCTCATCACGCTGCACCCGATCTAATAATACGACTTATTACATAACCAAATCTTTGTATTTGTTAGAGTATTTCATTTAGACATATGAACTAAGTCTTATTCTAACCGAACACCTCAACTTCTAATAAAATATTCCAATTAGACACTTTCAATTCAAATTTTGATAGTGTTTTCTCGTGTGTTCTCAATTCTCATTCGTCTATAATTAGATAGTTAAGTTAATCACATAAAATATGTTGTGTTCTTTAACTATATACATTTTCCTCAATAAGATATAAAAATTAACATTTTTTATGTGGTTAACTACCTAATACTGACATATTAAATCAATTTTTTTTTTGGGAATAAAGTGGATTGATTGGATTAAAATATCATTTTGTGGGACCCAAAAATGAACCCTACTAAATTAGGAAAGTGGATAAAGTTGGATATTGTTGACCATTTCAATTCTTGATTTTCCGCATTTTATGCCCTTACAGAACAAAAAGATTGAATTTTTCTCATGTGATTCAACAAGAAAAAGGGAGAAGAAGGAAAAAAATGGAGCTGAGAAGTGTATTCTTGCCTCAGTTCAAGATTCAACAACCTCAATTCACTTGTGTATTTTCTAAACAAGGGAAATATGAATCCCTTGTTGTTGTCGACATTTTTAGCAGGTAAATATGATGTTTTGTTTGGAATTTGTTACTAATAGATTAGATATAGAGTATTTGCTTAGCCCCACCTCAATTAATTTGTGATTTACTTGAATAAAGTTGGTTCTTTTATTTGTGATTTTGAATGAAATGGGTATAGGAGATTTATATGGCTGACCCCAATTAATTTCTGATTTACTGAATACCCAAATCAAATTGATGGATGTATATGAGCTTAATGGGTTTTTTTTGTTCCTTTTATTTTGTGATTCTGAAATGGGTTCAATGGAGTGGAATAGACAGGCCGGTGCACTAAGCATCCTGCATTCATGCAGGTCCAGAGAAGGCCTGTAAGGGGTGTGATGTGTCTGATTTCACAGCTCGAATGCGTGACCTGTAGGTCACAGAGACAACTTTGTACTTTATTGTTGCTCCATGTCTCCCTTTCATAGCTGATCCAAACTAGTTTGGGATTTACGTACTACTCAAATAGGATTTTTGTGTATAAGCTAGTGGTGTATTCAAATCCAATCTTGGTATTCCTTTGAGGGGTTGCATAAAGGTGGTTCTTTTATTTGTGATTTTGGAAGAAGTTTGTGAAGTGGAGTGGAAATGTGGAATAGATATAGAAGATTTATGTAGCTGACCCCAACTAAAGGACAACTCGGTGCATTAAGCATCCTGCATTCACGTAGGTCCAGAGAAGGGCTGCATCCTAAGGGGTGTGAACTGTGATGTAGGCAGCCTACCTTGAACACAGGACCTATAGGTTACAGAGAGACAACTTCATACTTTACTGTTGCTTCCAAGGCTCCCGTTGATAGCTGACCCAAATTAGTTTGGGATTTACGTAATACCCTAATAGGATTGCTGTGTATATAAATATGAAGCTAGTGGTGTTCTCAAATCTAGTCTTGGTATTCCTTTGAGGGGTTGCATAAAGGTGGTTCTTTTATTTGTGATTCAGGAGGAAGTTGGTGAAGTGGAGTGGAGATGTGGAATAGAAAATAGAAGATTTATATAGATGACCAAAACTAGTTTGGGATTTATTTTAAACAGAAATTGAATTGGTGGATATATATGAAGCTGGTGTTCTCAAACTTAGTATTCCTTGAAAGTGTTGCATGTAATTTTATTTGTGATTCTGAATGAAATAAATCAGGTGGAGTAGAAATGTTGAATAGATATAGAAGAATTATATAGCTGACTAAACTAATTAGGGATTTACTCAATACTCAAATTGGATTGGTGGATATATGTGAAGCTAATGGCTTTCTTGAACTTGGTATTCCTTCAAAGGGTTGCATGTAAATGAAGTTGGTTCTTTTATTTATAATTCTGAATGAAATGAGTCCAGTGGAGTTGAATATTCATAGAAGATTTATATAGAGTACCCAAGCTAGTTTGGAGTTAACTTAATAACGAAATCAAATTTGTGGGATATATATGAAGCTAATGGTTTTCTTAACCTTGGTACTTTTTTAAAGGATTGGTAGTGTATAAAGTTGGTTTTTTTTTTGTGGGGGGCGGGGGTGGTTAACCAGATTACAAACAGAATGGTAATAAAGTTCTTTTCTTTTGTGTTTCCATATAAATTAAGGTTTTGTGCTGGACAATTTGTGTAAATGCTTGATACTAGTTCGATGCATTATTGAACAATTGCATAATGAAGGTAAAAAACTCTAAATTTGTTCATGGGGATAATGTTATCGTCAAGAACATGCCAGAAAGAAACTTAAATTCTAAATGTATCTTCTTTTTCACCCTATGAAAGACAAGATTATTGAGTTATATTTCTTTTTGGCATCTCAAATACCATGTAACTTCTGCATTTCTTCTCTCTGATGGTATCCAATCTGCTCCCAGGGAGGCTTTTCCCGTTTCATATGATAGATGGAAAAATATTGAAGTACATTGCAATAAAGACCAAAGAATCAGGCACTCACCCCTGTCAAAGCAGGACAATGCAAAGTTACCTGAGCTAGCTTTTAACCGGCTTCAGCAAACTGATGATGGGTACTCTGGATTGCAAAGGCGAACCTTTGGTCGTTTCATTGCTCGTGAGGTCGTGCTGGATGAAGAATATTGGGTTTGTTCTGCTGCTTTTAAAGAATAATTTCATGGCTATCCTTTGTTACTCTTTCTAAATGTATTTCAGATTTTCTTGTTCCTCTGTCTTACTGTCAATGGCAGACAGCAGCCTGGCTCCGAGCAGAAGCTCATTGGGAATCTGTCTCCTATATGAGGTTGGAGCTCACACATATCACCTATCCCTCTTATAATTAGGATTAGTTTAAAAATTGTTTTCTCTATGTAAGTCTGAGTTGTTATATGGTAAATATTAACTGTACTTTTGCTAATTTTAGGCATGTTGATGCATATAAAAGAAAGTATGCCGAACAGGTGAGTTGCAGTAAAAAACTTTTTGTTTGTTAGCAGTTAAAATATTATTTGTTGAAGTTGAGATCTTACCATCTAATATATCCCCCCTTTTCCCTACAACTCAGTAGAATGACATTAAGTTGTTTTAAAATATTTCCCCGTCTCATGGCTTTCCCACAGTGGTCTGTCCTATCATAACTTTAATCTATATCTTTAGGCTGGCCAGTTAGTAATTAGTTCAGTGGCCCTCACATGTTTATCAGTGAAACACATATAGGGTGAGAGCTCCAAGACTTATTCTTCTCATGACAGCTTGAGGTTTATACAATGTTATCAAAAGCAAAAAATGCAAAAAAACTCTAAGGTCTATTGGGGCTTTAAGCATAAAACGTAAATAATATGCGCACTTTAATGGCAAAGCGCACATTAAGCAAGGCAAAAAGCGCTCAACACATGGAGTAGAAGACAAATGGAAGTTCTATTCTCTGCTGGAAGAAGCTTGTTTCTGTTAAAGCTTTAGGAAAAATTCACATGTAAGATTATGAGCTTGCATATTCATGTTTCCGGCACTGGTTTAGTGACTTCTGTACTTTTAGTATTAACAATTGACAAAAGAGCAAAAACAGATCCTTGCCTACTTTGAATAGTGTATATTTATCATTTGGGATTATAGGTCTCATTTAACATCTAAGCTCAATGCCATAAATGATATTGTATTTTTCTAGGATTGTTATTAGGACAGCAGTTGTAGTTTTAATTTTGGGAAAAGGTGTTTCACGTGGTTGATGAGCTTGCATTTAATTAGACATGTTCAAATTTGGCAAATGACATATATTTGGTACTAGCAACAACACCTTTGTGATGGTGTTCTTCTTCCGTTTACATAAATATTGATCATCATATGTTGCTCTAGTTTCTACCGCTCATATTCGTTAAACCCTCATTTTTATTTTCTTTTCTTTTCGTTCCACTATTTGTGTGCAGGAGTTTTATGCATTAAAGAGAAGATGTTCTGGTCAGGATGGAAATTGCTTGAAGTGCTTTTGTTTTGTTGCGGTACGTATTAGTGGCTTCTAGACAATTTCCCTGGTCTTCCTTAGTGTTGTGTATGCACAAGTTGCAACTGGTTAATCATAGTTGATTTGGATTTAGATGGCTCTCTAACTTCCAGAATTGCTTTGATTTTACCATTGATTTCAAATATAGTGCCTTGTATCTAATCCGTTTTCGCCTGTGCCAATTTATTAGTATCTAAGGTTCTATTTTTAGCGGTAAAAAGTAATGATGAAGATTTTTAAAAAATGATTGGGACTCATCTCTAGTTTCTCTATAGCCAGTGCTAGTCACAGTTCTGATTTATTATGTGCAAATAGCTACAAAAAAGTTGGTGACTTGGGTATTGGTTCGTAAGCTGAAGGAATCTAAGAACCTCACACAACTGGGGCTGCTTCATAATGCATAAAGACTGACAAACCATGCTAACAACTTTCCTGCGGCCTTTGCTAGGCCTCTTCATGTCATATTAAGCTGTTGAGTACTTAAGTGTCTTATATTACATTATCTGGAGCTAAAGAAACATTTTTCAGGCTATTTGGGTAAGTGTTCACTAATTTCCTTTTCGGACATGAGTTAACTACCTCTGAATTAAACACCTATTTTCTGATTTAAGAATTGTAAAAGCACTTAGGTCTTGGATGTTTCCAGCAGATAGGAAACACAGGAGGTAATGGATCTGCTCCTTTGAGCGATTCCTTCATCCAATGTGAGAATGAATACATATAGATTGTGCTGGATGTTGTCGATGAATTCCTGCTAGGAAGTAACATGAGAACTGCAAAATAAAATTCTGTTTAAAGCATGAACCAGCTAGACTACCTATCAGATAAAAAGCTCAATTGTTTCTGTGCATTTTGAATTTTGATGAGAAGATTTGTACTCCCGTGAGGTGTGAGCAATTAAACTTCACCACTTTGTGCCAGTGGCCTGATGCTTCTTCAAGTGCTGAAATCCTCTTAACAAGTTCTACTTTCTGCAAAATTTGATGTCTTTTTGAGTTTCAAACATGCTTAAGAGCTTCTGCTATGTACTTAAAATGATTGTTATGTGATATTCATTCTTTTAGAATTTGATGTTTTCCTTCATGTAAGTAAGATGATTGTTGTGTGATATTTATTCTTTCAAGTTTGATATTTATATTGGATATTCCTCAGCCTTCAAATGTTTCAGGTCAAAAAGGAAGAGAAGAATGTTAGAAGAACAGTACTTAACAGTGTAGTGGGAACGTTGGACCTGTCCATCCGGAAATTTGTACAAAGGGAGAGATACCCAGGGGTACCAACTTAAGCAAACTTTTAGATAAATGTTGATTTCTAAATGCATCTTCATTTATTCTGTGATTGGACTAAACTGTTGGCCTGGACTAGTGGAATTTGATTATATTGCAACTTTGCATATGTTGCTATGTCTAAAAAAATGGGGATGCCTACATCTTTGCATTTATTTTTGTTGTAGTTACTATTCCGTTTTAGAATGCTTCGTCATACTTTCTGATTCTATAGTATTTTGCCACAATTTATTCACTTCTGTTATTTCCTTTTCAATCTGCTTTGATATGCTTTTCCTTGAGTCGAGGTTTATCGGAAACAACCTCTTTGCCTCCCAAGGTAGGGGTAAGGTCTCAATTCTGCAATAGGAGAAAAAGGAAGAAGAAAAGCTTATACTGTACTTTGTTTCCTTCTGTTGAAGTGGAGGTAAATGTGTGTACTAGATTTTGCTGAACCTGCTGAATTCCTTTTCCTCTCATGGTCTCCAGGAAATCAAAAGGTTATCAGTTGTCATGGCACATCAAGAACCCTTTGATTCGCATAAATATGCATACATTGCAAATGTTTGTGTTGCAATGTTTGCTCGACGTCAGGGTATTGCTTCAAATATAATACATTTGGCTGCTGATAAGGCCGCGTTAGAAGGTATCTTGTTTCAGCTTTAAACTTTTTAATGTGCTCTTCATTATGATCTACCATTTCAGAATTGCCATCCCTTGTAATTAATTTCCGCTGACTATGTCTAATCTTATTTTTGCATGTCCAAGCAGGTTTCAAGCAGCTATTTGTTCATGTAAATGCAGACAACATACCTGGCCAGGAATTATACAAAAAAACCGGCTTTAAGGTTAGCTTCAATCTGTTTTTCCATAACCGGAACATCTTATTGCTATTGCTTAGTGAGATCTGTTTATGTGGATGATCGTCCTTCATCAGCTCTTCTTTCTCTTTTTTTGATAAGTGAATGCTTGTTTTCATTTTTGTGTTTTTTTTTATTTTGGATGTCTTAATGTCTGCATTGCATCTCTCCTAATCATCCCAAGAGTTGAAGTCAGTGCTAAGTAGACCTTTAAAACGAGGTAGCTCTTCATGAAACTTCTTATATCAGATCTGATATGATAACCTGGAAAATAGAGTGATAACTTACAACAACCTGTTAAATTAAATTGACGGTGTAACATTTCTTTACACGTGATGTATAACTTAAATCCTGTTGAAATCTTTTACTTCAACTTATCTTAGTTTGGTTGACAATCAACTCTTGATGTATAACAAAAGGCGTGTCGCGTCTTATGACTTACTCTTATCACTCCATGCAGATCGTGGAAGCCGACTCATCGTCTCTATCAAAAGAACAGATGATACTGATGTCCTTGGATTTATAATTTCCCTTTGCTACTTCACTTCCAGACTAAAGAGGATCTGTTAGTTTGTACATTTAACATGGTATGAAGCCAATATCTTGTTGGTTGATGTATGTATTATTGGGTAGACAGACAACTAGTTAGTTATAGAGGATATAATATATGTATAAGGAAGTTGTACGATTTGTTTGGACTAGGGAACGGGTACGTATGGATACGTGTTTATTTGAGTATCCTATACGAGCATATCCGATTAAATATTTTGTGTATTTTGGACAATTCAGACTATGTATTCATACACTCAATGTCAGATATTTTGACATGAATATTAAGCTGAGAGAGATTGTTTTTGTTTTTCTTATCAAAAGGGAATTTTGTTATTTAGTTTCTTACAATGTTGAGAAATTTAAATATGGCTATGAGTCTATGAGAGATTCTAGCACGACTCCAATTCAATTATTTCATCTTCTGTGATGGCCTTGCTTCTTCTTTCGCCTTCTCATAACGATTCTGTATTCAAGTTCTTCAGCAATCCTAGAAAGCCAATTGGAATTTCGACTCGAAAGCATGAAAGATGCTATGGAGAATCCAATAATAAGTCCACTTCCATATCCCATGAGAATCCCATTCCAAAATTCACTCAGAAATGTAGAATTGCTTTCTTCATCCAGAACATATGCTGTGTTTTCTGTCTCTGGCATCCTGCTACTTCCACAACCTTGAGGAAAAGGGTATCCACATAATCCATCGTTACCTTCATATGAATTGATCTCAAATGTATTGAATTGAGGTCCTTTTGGGATGCATCCTTGTAGATGATTGTGGGAGAGATTTAAGACCGCAAGAGATGTAAGAGAAGCGAGTTGTTGTGGTATCTCTCCCGAAAGCTGGTTAAATGAAAGGTTCAATGATTCGACTACAAATAAATTTCCAAGTGATGATGGAATATGACCTTGCAATCTGTTATGAGAAAAATTAAGCATCCGAAGCGCAATGAGATCTCCTATAACATCAGGAATATGTCCTTCAAAATTGTTGTTTGAAAGATCCATAGTGGTGTACAAAAACAAGATTCTCTCAACTTCAAGCTCCAATCCCTTTGTAACTACAACTACTGAGTCTTGGTAATAATAACCATCAATTAGTGCCGTCTTGGATGGATCAATTGTCCTCATGGTTTTCAGATGTTGAAACAAACTCGTAGGTAGGTTTCCTGAGAAGGCATTGTAAGAGAGATCTATGATTCGAAGCTTAGGAAACATACTTCCAACACTTGACGGTGGAATGGACCCATACAATTTATTGGATCTCAAGCTTAGAACTTGTAGATCTGGAAGAGTTCCCAACCACATGGGGAATGTGTCGTTGAGATGATTATGTCCTAAATCAAGAACCTGCAACGCTTTGCAATTGGACAAAGATCGGGGAATATTCCCCTCTAGTTTATTGCCATGCAAGTTGAGGCTCCTCAGTGATCTCCCATTGCTGAAAATTGTTGGAAGAGTCCCAGAAAGATTGTTGTTGTGCATATCAAGAACCACGAGGCCAGTAATATTACCCAAACATTGAGGAATTACTCCCTTCAAATTGTTTCTCGCCAAATCTAGTATTACCAGTGATGTCAAATTGCAAATAGATGAAGGAATTTCTTCAGTGAGATTATTTTCTGATGTGAAGAAGTATTCAAGATACTTAAGAGAAGCAAGTTGTTTTGGTATCTCTCCCGAAAGCTGGTTAACTGATAAGTCCAATGATCCAACCAAAGATAAATTTCCAAGTGATGATGGTATACGTCCTTGCAATCTATTATGAGAGAAATTCAGCGCCTTAAGTGCAGTAAGTTCTCCCATGATACTTGGAATATGTCCTTCAAATTTGTTACTTGAAAGATCAATAGAGGCGTAAACAGTCAAAATTTTGATAAGTTCAATCTCATATCCCTTGCTTATGACTATAATAGAATCTTGGTAATAATAGTCTTCAAGGTATGTTAGTTTCTTCTTTGATGGATCAATTGTTCTCATGGTTTTCAGATGTCGAAACAGACTCGTAGGTAAATTTCCTGTGAAGGCATTGTAAGAGAGATCTATAATTCGAAGATCAGGAAACATGTTTTCATTTTTTAAAGTTCTAATGGGTCCATGCAACTTATTCAATCTCAAGCTTAAAACATGAAGCTTTGGAAGAGTTCCAACCCACATAGGGAATGTGTCAATGATATGATTATCTCCTAGATCAAGAACTTGCAACACTTTGCAATTGGCCAAAGATCGGGGAATTTTCCCCTCTAGTTTATTTCCACGCAAGTTGAGTTTTCTAAGTGAACTTCCATTGCTGAAAGTTGTTGGAAGAGTCCCAGAAAGTTTGTTGTTGTGCATATCTAGAATTTTGAGGCTTCTGATATTACCCAAACATTGCGGAATTGCTCCCTTCAAGTTGTTTCTCGCCAAATCTAGCATTACCAATGATTTCAAATTGCAAATATGTGAAGGAATTTCTTCAGTGAGATTATTATGGGCTATGAGGAAGAATCTCGTGGAAATTGGTGGAATAGGTAGTGAACCTTGAAGCAAATTGGACCGCAAATCAATAGTATCTAGAGACTGAAGAGGAATTGAATCCACACGAGAGAAGTTATTAACAGAAAGGTTGAGCCTTTGGAGATGAGAGAGTTGGAAAAGGCTGCTATTGGAATCAAGCTTTCCTACGAGACAGCTGCAGCCGAGGTCAAGTTCAATGACATGGCCAGTCATCTCATCACATATGACTCCATCCCATGAACAACAATCTATACTCATGTTCCATGAACTCGTTTTTGGATATGGCTTCTGACCATAAAATATTTCACAGACATTAGAATCAGAGGCTGTGGAATTTACAGTAAACGTTTTCTTGAATTTTAGAAGGGAAATACTTTGATCTTTGCGGCATGGATGAGGTATGGATGAAGAAAAAGAAAGCAAACAGAGAAAGAGCAGAAATGAGAATTGGCCAGACCCCATGTTTAGCATCAAAGTGTTTTAGAGAAAGGTGGTAATGAAAATCAAGAAAAGGCTACACAAATATATATAGTGAGAAGGTCTGTGTGTTTGATAATACTGGACTTTGACTGAACTATAAATTGAAAATTAAAATTCTTATGAACAAATTTACATATTCTAAGACCAATTGATGATTACCTTAATAGGTGTTGAAGATATCTTCTTGAACGACAACTTGTCATACCAGAAATGCATCCGAGATTTAAACTTAACGAGTTCAACCTTTAATGTTTTTTAGCATTTAAAACATTGTTCAAATTTAAATATTTTGTTACCATATTATATTTATGTTTCATGTTTGAAAATTCTGAATTCAGTGGATCAGAACCCGTTGCTTTTGGTCTGTATCCGCCTCTAACGACTTGCATGGAAGGATAACGATTTATGACGATGTACAACAATTATTACATCTCAGTCCATTTAAATCGTTTCATGCCTATAAGTGAGGAGTCATCGCGAAATAGACTCAAGTTTTCGTTGCCTGAAAGGTGAGGATCATCATATATTTAGTTTTCGTGTTCGATAATACTGAGTTCAGTTGAACCTGTTGTTTATGAGCCGCATCCACCTCTACAAAATTAAAGAGCAGAGTAAGTGAAAGCTACTTATCATTAAAGAGTTAAGACTAACAGAAACGTATTTTCTCCGAATTTTGCAAATTTGGCTGCTCTCTCTCTTCCACACAAACTTTCTCTCCTCCACACTTTGTCTGTTCATACTTTATCAAATAAAATGTTGGTCAAGTCAAATTTAAGTTTTTCTATTTTTGTCTTTATGTTAACATAGACAGTTAACCTTTTTAATCCCTTATAGCTGAATAACAATGAAAGGAAAAAGTTTGTTGGGATTAATCCGAGAGTCAGTTTGACAAACGTTGGCTAACATTGTTCATCATCGTTGATCTAGACATATAAAGTTGAAAATACGAACTTGTATTTTTTTTATCAACCTACTGAAGCTCAAGTAAATTATGTAATACAAACTTTGTCAAGTCAGGAAAAGAAGAACAACAAATATGTAAACACAAATGAGATTCATGATACAAATTACAAAAACTAAATGTGAACACGAGAATAATCAACCAACTAATCTATTAAGATTTCCCAATGTCCTGAATACTATCTTCCGCCCAATTATCAACTAAAGCGCGGTCATCTTACATGTTCAAACAAAGCTGCCAGTAAGTCAACTTCGATTTTAACTCTTGTCGTGCTCGGTCTTGTTTGATCTTGATCAACAACCAAAGGTCTGCCAACAGCCGAGGCTATCAAATATATACAGAGTATAAATATGTTTTCTCTGTAATGAAATAACTGTAGTAGTATTGCTTAAAAGCATACAAAAAGGTCCAGAGACTGATTAAACATTATTTACATCACAAATTCACAATGTTACACCAGAAAAAGAAGAAAAACAAATGGAAATGCAGAAGTGCCTTTGCTTTCGCTGCGTCTTTCTCCTTCCCATCATAATTTTGTGCTCCAGCTCTTCAATGATTCTTGCAGGCCATTTCAGGTTTCCAGTTGAAATCATGAAATATATAATGGATAATCCAATACATAGTCCACTTCCATATCCCATAAGAGCCGCTTTCCAAAAATCACTCTGAAATTCAGAATTGCTCTCTTCAGAGTCTAGCTGTCCAGATATGGCATAATTTGTCCCTGATACACGATCATCGCCACAACTTTTTGTAAAGGGAATTCCACGTAATCCATCATTGCCTTTATATGAATTGTTCTCAAAGGTATGCAATTGATTTCCTTGAGGAATGCACCCTTCGAGATGATTGTAGGAGAGATTTAAGACTTCAAGAGATGTAAGAGAAGCAAATTGTGCTGGTATCTCTCCTACAAGATGGTTACTTGACAGGTCCAATGATTCAACCAAGGATAAACTTCCAAGTGATGGCGGTATATGACCTTGTAATCCATTATGAGATATATTCAGCACACGAAGTGCAATGAGATCTCCCACAATACTTGGAATATTTCCTTCAAATTTGTTGTTTGAAAGATCGACATTGGCGTACAAAAACAAGATTCTCACAACTTCAAATTTTAATCCCTTTGTTACGAAAGCTACCGTGTCTTGGTAATATCGACTTCCTTCATCACTTGGTGTGTTCATCGTTTGATGAATTGTCCTCGTGGCTTACAAATGTTGAAACAAACCCGGTGGTATGTTTTTTGTGAAAGCATTGGAGGAGAGATAAAATATTTGAAGCTGAGGAAACATGTTTTCAGTTGTTAGAGTTCTAATGGGTCCATGCAATTTATTGGATCTTAAGCTTAGAACTTTCAGCTTTGGCAGAGTCCCCAACCACATGGGGAATGTGTCCATGAGGTGATTGTCTCCTAAATCAAGAACTTCGAGTTGTTTGCAGTTGATCAAGGATTGTGGGATTTTCCCCTCCAGCTTATTGCCATGAAAGTTGAAGCTTTTGAGTGCACTTCCGATTCTAAAAGTCGTTGGAAGAGTCCCTGAAAGACTGTTGTAGTGCATATCCAGAACCTCGAGGCCACTGATATTACCCAAACATTGCGGAATTGCTCCCTTCAAGTTGTTTCCTGCCAAATCTAGCATTGCCAGTGACGTCGAATTGCAAATAGACGAAGGGATCTCCCCACTGAGATTATTATGAGATATGAAGAAGAATCTTGTGGAAATTGGTGGAATAGGTAGTGAACCTTGAAGAAAATTGGACCGCAAATCAATAGCTTTTATAGACAGAAGAGGAATTAAATCAACACTTTCCAGCATGTTGTGGGATAAATTAAGACGTTTCAATGAATAAATCCAGTTAGACCATGCCCAATTTGGGATTCTTCCTTCAATCTTATTATTTGAAAGATCCAAATGCCAAAGAAGCTTTGCGGATCTTAGAAACTCCAATTCTTTCACTTCACATGTGGCCAATTGTAAGCTCATAAGAGATCCTGGCAAAGTAACATTATGTTTGTTCTCATGGGTCAATGTGATACGATTATATGAAAGATCAAGATAATAAAGCTGCTTGAGGTCAGCAAAGAAGCTGACATCCACATGGCCACTAAATTTTTTGAAAGAAAGAATAAGGCCTGTTAGGTTCACAAGGTTTTGAATCGACTTGGGAAGATGGCCTTGCAGCTGATTATTGCTTAAATCAATCCAGATTACTGAATTGGAATTGAAATCCTCAAACTGACCAGAAAAGTGGTTATTACTCAAGACTAAACGACTTAGTGACGGAAGAGAGAACATCCCTGATGGTATTGTTCCATTTAGGGAGTTATCTGAAAGGTCCAAATCCAATATGTGTGTGAGATTTGAAAGAGATTCAGGAATAGGCCCTCGAAGGTTGCATTTTTTAAGAGACAAAGAATGCAGTGAGGTTAGATAACCGATAGACTCAGGCAAATTACAAGAAAAATTCACGCCACTGAGATCTAACTCTACGAGAGATGCACTGCTGATCCATTTCGTCTTTGGAAAATAACCACTTAGCTGATCATTATTTTGTAAGACAAGTGTTTCCAGATTGGGAAGGTGAGAAATACTCTCAGGTATTATCCCATACAATCCTGTATTTCCCATCTTCAGAGTTGTCAAATGAGAAGAAAAATTCAGAGGAATGGTGGAAGAGATGTTTATGGTAGAAAGATCAAGATCTCTTAATTGAGTCAAATTCTGAAGGAGCAATTTCAAATCATGGGCTGTGAGTTTTAGAATAGTTTCAAATGATGGGGAGAGGCGAATAGACTGTAATTGAGAAAGATGAGAGATTTCAGAAGGGATATGACCTGAGAAATATAAGTCAGAAAGATCAAGAAGTGTCAAGCTCGAGAACCTTCCAAATTCAGGCGAGATGTGCGAATTAGAGAAGCTATTAGAAGAAAGGTCGAGCCTTTGGAGATGAGAGAGTTGGAAGAGGCTGCTATTGGAATCAATCTTTCCTACAAGACCACTGCAACTGAGATTAAGTTCAATCACATGGCCTGTCATCTCATCACATATGACCCCATCCCACGAGCAACAATCTCTGCTCCTATTCCATGAACTCGTATAAGAGTAGGAACTGCAAGTAATTAATGAAGGATCTACAGTGAGTGTTTTCTTGAACTTTAGAAGAGCGTTGCTTTGATCTTTGCGGCACAGATGAGGTATGGATGAAGAAAAAGAAAGCAGACAGAAACAGAGAGAGAGTAGAAATAAGAATTGGCCAGGCCCCATGTTTAGCATCAAAGAGTTCTAGCGAAAGGTAGTAGTGAAAATCAAGAAAAGGCTACACAAATATTTAGTTTTGTGTTCGATAATAATATGTGTTCAGTTGAATCCGTTGTTTATGAGCCGCATCCACCTCTACAAAAATAAATAGCAGAGGAAATGAAGCCAAGAAAGATAATGAATTATGAATGTAAATATCTTGTATTTTTTCATGGAAATTTCAAATGAAAGCTAATTATCATTAATGAGTAAAGACCAACCGAAACATGTTTTCTCTGGATTTTGCAAATTCGGCTGCTCTCCCTCATTCACACAAACTATATCTCATTCATACTTTGTTTGTTCATAAATGTTGATAAAGTCAATTTAAGTTGTTCTAGTTTTGTCTTTATGTTGACATAGACAAACTTTTTTATCCCTTACAACTAAGTAACAATGAAAAGAAAAAGTTTATTGAGATTAATCCTTTGGTGATTCAGTTTGATAAATGTTGGCTAACATTGTTCATCATCGTTGATCTCACTTTATATGCACTTTATATTGTATTTGAGACGACTCACAGAATAAACGTATCCAAATAAGGTTATTTATGAGATTGAAACAAATAGCTATTGCCTTTCCTTTAGAATTATGTAATTAGACATATAAAGTTGAAAATACGAACTTGAATTTTTTTATCAAGCTACTGAAGCTCAAGTAAATTATGTAATACTAACTTTTTCAAGTCACGAAAAGAAGAACAACAACAATGTAAAGACAAATGAGATTCCTGATACAAATTACAAAAACTAAATGTGAACATGAGAATAATCAACCAACTAATCTACTAAGATTTCCCAATGTCCTGAATACTAACTTCCGCCCAATGACAAACTAAAGCGAGGTCATCTTACATGTTCAAACAAAGCTGCCAGTAAGTCAACTTCGACTTTAGCTCTTGTCATGCTCGGTCTTGTTTGATCTTGATCAACAACCAAAGGTCTGTTAACAGCTGAGGCTAACAAATATATACAGAGTATAGATATGTTTTCTCTGAAATGAAATAACTGTAATAGTATTGCTTAAAAGCAATACAAAAAGGTCCAGAGACTGATTAAATATCATTTACATCACAATGTTAGACCAAAAACAGAAGAAAAACAAATGGAAATGCAGAAGAGCCTTTGCTTTCGCTGCGTCTTTCTCCTTCCCATCATAATTTTGTGCTCCAGCTCTTCAATGATTCTTGCAGGCCATTTCAGGTTTCCAGTTGAAATCATGAAATATATTATGGATAATCCAATACATAGTCCACTTCCATAGCCCATAAGAGCACCTTTCCAAAAATCACGCAGAAATTCAGAATTGCTCTCTTCATCGTCTAGCTGTCCAGATATGGCATAATTTGTCCCTGATACACGATCATTGCCACAACCTTTTGTAAAGGGAAATCCACGTAATCCATCATTGCCTTCATATGAATTGTTCTCAAAGGTATGAAATTGATTTCCTTGAGGAATGCATCCTTCGAGATGATTGTAGGAGAGATTTAAGACTTCAAGAGATGTAAGAGAAGCAAATTGTGCTGGTATCTCTCCTACAAGATGGTTACTTGACAGGTCCAATGATTCAACTGAACATAATCTTCCAAGTGATGGGGGCATATGACCTTCCAATCCATTATGAGATATATTCAGCACACGGAGTGCAATAAGATCTCCCATAATACTTGGAAGATGTCCTTCGAATTTGTTGTTTGAAAGATCGATAGTGATGTACAAAAACAAGATTCTCACAATTTCACGCTCATATCCCTTGGATACGACAGCTATCGAGTCTTGGTAATATCGACTTCCTTCATCACTTGGTGTGTTCATCATTTGATGAATTGTCCTCATGGCTTTCAAATGTTGAAACAAACCCGGTGGTATGTTTTTTGTGAAAGCATTGGAGGAGAGATCTAATATTTGAAGCTGAGGAAACATGTTTTCAGTTGTTAGAGTTCTAATGGGTCCATGCAATATATTGGATCTCAAGCTTAGAACTTTCAGCTTTGGCAGAGTTCCCAACCACACGGGGAATGTGTCGTTGAGATGATTGTCTCCTAAATCAAGAACTTCGAGTAGTTTGCAGTTGATCAAGGATTGTGGGATTTTCCCCTCCAGCTTATTGCCATGAAAGTTGAAGCTTTTGAGGGCACTTCCAATTCTAAAAGTCGTTGGAAGAGTCCCTGAAAGACTGTTGTGGTGCATATCCAGAACTTCGAGGCCACTGATATTACTCAAACATTGCGGAATTGCTCCCTTCAAGTTGTTTCCTGCCAAATCTAGCATTACCAGTGACGTCAAATTGCAAATAGACGAAGGGATCTCCCCACTGAGATTATTATGGGATATGAAGAAGAATCTTGTGGAAATTGGTGGAATAGGTAGTGAACCTTGAAGAAAATTGGACCGCAAATCAATGGCATTTGCAGATTGAAGAGGAATTGAATCAACACTTGCCAGCATGTTGTGGGATATATTAAGACTCTTCAATGAAATAATCCAGTTAGACCATGCCCAATCTGGGATTCTTCCTTCAATCTTATTATTTGAAAGATCCAAATGCCAAAGAAGCTTTGCGGATCTTAGAAACTCCAATTCTTTCACTTCACATGCAGCCAATCGTAAGCTCATAAGAGATCCTGGCAAAGTAACATTATGTTTGTTCTCATTGGTCAATGAGATACAATTATATGAAAGATCAAGATAATAAAGTTGCTTGAGGTCAGCAAAGAAGCTGACATCCACACTACCATTAAAATTATTGAAAGAAAGAACAAGGCCTGTTAGGTTCACAAGGTTTTGAATCGACTTGGGAAGATGACCTTGCAGCTGATTATTGCTTAAATCAATCCAGATTACTGAATTGGAATTGAAATCCTCAAACTGACCATAAAGGTGGTTATTACTCAAGACTAAACGACTTAGTGACGGAAGAGAGAACATCCCTGATGGTATTGTTCCATTTAGGGAGTTATCTGAAAGGTCCAAATCCAATATGTGTGTGAGATTCGAAAGAGATTCAGGAATAGGCCCTCGAAGGTTGCAATTTTTAAGAGACAAAGAATGCAGTGAGGTTAGATAACCGATAGACTCAGGCAAATTACAAGAAAAATTCACGCCACTGAGATCTAACTCTACGAGAGATGCACTGCTGATCCATTTCGTCTTTGGAAAATAACCACTTAGCTGATCATTATTTTGTAAGACAAGTGTTTCCAGATTGGGAAGGTGAAAAATACTCTCGGGTATTAACCCGTGCAATCCTGTATTTCCCAGCCTCAGAGTTGTTAAATGAGAAGAAAAATTCAGAGGAATAGTGGAAGAGATGTTTATGGAAGTAAGATGAAGCTCTCTTAATTGAGTCAAATTCTGAAGGAGCATTTCAAAATCGTGAGGTCCAAATTTAAGCATTTCTCCTGAGAAATAAAGAGATTGTAACTTGGAAAGGTGAGAGATTTCAGAAGGATTTTGACCTGAGAAATAGGAGTCAGAAAGATCAAGATATGTCAAGCTCGAGAACCTGCCAAATTCAGGCGAGATGTTAGAATTAGAGAAGTTATTAGAAGAAAGGTCGAGCCTTTGAAGATGAGAGAGTTGGAAGAGGCTGCTATTGGAATCAACCTTTCCTACAAGACTGTTGCAACTGAGATCAAGTTCAATGACATGGCCAGTCATCTCATTGCATACGACTCCATCCCATGAGCAACAATCTCTGCTCATATTCCATGAACTCGTATAAGAGTAGGAACTACTCGTAACTAATGAGGGATCTACGATAAGTGTTCTCTTGAATTCTAGAAGAGCGTAGCTTTGATCTTTACGGCACAAATGAGGTATGGATGAAGAAAAAGAAAGCTGACAGAAACAGAGAAAGAACAGAAATGAGAATTGGCCAGACCCCATGTTTAGCATCAAAGAGTTTTAGAGTATGTTGGTATTGAAAATCAAGAAAAGGCTACACAAATATATATATATATAGGCAAACTTCATAGTTCATTAACAATATGGTTTTTGCCACTTTAACATCATCACTAATGCAGTCAGCAACTTTGTTGTATATGATGCATGATATACCTTTTTTGGTTCTCATTTCTCATCTCTAAAGTAGTGGACCATAGAGTTACAGGGGCAGAGTCATGTACGGTTAAGGGGTTTCATCCAAACATCCTTTGATAGAAATTATACTATTTTTACAATGTTAAAATTATTTTTCATGTGTATATAGTAGATGTTGAATCTCATTCAATTTCTTCATATTTAGAATTCTCTTGGTGAAAATTCTGACTCCGCCACTGTCTAGTTGAACCCGCCTCTACAAAAAATAAAGGGAGGAGGAAATTAAGTCAAGAAAGATAAGGAAATCAAGAAACTAAAGAAAACGTTTCAATCTTGTGATCTTAAATATGTCACGTGAAAAGTTGAATTAAAGTTTAGATTCCTTTTCAAAAGAACTAGAAAGGAAACTATGAATGCAAATGTGTTGTATTTTACAATGGATATTTCAAATGAACTAAAAAGGAAATGTGTTTTCTCCAAATGTTAGGAAATTTGGTTTCTCTATCATTCACACTTTGTCTTTGTTCATTTTTTTATTAAAGAAAATCTAATCATTCTAAAGTCAAATTTGGGGTTTTTTTTTTGTCTTTTTTTTCTTCATGTGTTCCACATCCACATGTTCTTTACCAGTAAACAAAACTACATAATAATAGGAAAAATAATCCCTCAAACAGAAAACAAACTTAAAATGTAGAGAAATCATCTTTTTTAGTTTGGTATGTTGGCACTAGTTTCTGATCACTACTAAATGTTCTATTTGTAACACTAAAGTCACAAAATTATTTTGCTGAAGTCATAAACAATTCACAAAATATTAATTTTTTTAAAGAGAATGAGTTGTTGCAAATCATTTTGTACAAGTTGCATGTCCAAATAAAATATAGTTCATTACCAATATAGTCTTGTGCAAGGATTTTCCCAAAATACAAAGTCATTTGGATGGACAATTTTCTATTAATTTACCGTTTTAATTGTGATTTTGATTTGAAATGACTAACAGAATAATCGTATCTAAATAAAACATTTCTAAGATTGAAACAAATAGCTATTGTCTTTCCTTTTGGAATTATGTAATTAGACATGTAAAGTTGAAAATATGAACTTGAATAGTCAACCAACTGAACTATTAAGATTCTCCAATATTTTGAATACTATCTTCCGTCCAACAAGCAACAAAAAGTTCTACATAATGAATTTTTTTAAAGCGGGGGTTATTGTCCCTTGTTTTTTTAAAAAAATTTGTTAAGCGTGGCCAAAAGTTCTACCGCCCTTTTATAGAGGTCATTCTTGTAAATCACAAGGGCTTATATGTTTCAAACTTACATAAGAAGGATGCGAAGTGCAATTTTCCCCAAATATTTCTTATTTCCCTCTCATATAAAACTCCTTTCCTTATCCCCTAGCTGCCGGCTTCAGTCACAAAATCTCCGGCCAACTTTCCGGCAAGCGTCTTGGCAGGTATGGAATTCGATATTTAAGCTCTGAAGCAAAAAGGGTATTGATTCTTTTGACTCCTCGGAGTCAAAATTTGAAGTTTATGATTTCGGAATGTTAGTAGTTTTGAGTTATTGAGTTTTGAATTAATAATTTGTATGTACCTGCTTTGCACACTCTAGCTTCGCCCCTTGTAGAGATTGAGCTTATAGGTGCATACTGTTCTCTTTGTATTTCTAAAAAGATGGGATTTTTACTTCTTGAACATGGGATTTTTAGGTCAATAATGTAGCAACTTTGTGGTTGTTGGCAAGAATTGTCATCACGTACATTGTATTTGAAGATTATATAGTCGAATCGAAGACGATGAGTGAGCAATAATCATACAATGCTTGAGTAAAAGCAGTAAAATTGGTGTAGCCACTACATTGAGAATGAAATGGACCCTAATAGAGCAAAATGTAATAGAGGATTTGTATGGCTGACTTCAACTAGGTTCGGATTGAGATATAATAGGTTGATACCTCTGTGAATTTTCTTTTTTTTCGTTTTAACTCGCATCCTCTTAATATTTAAGGAGTTGATATGCAATTCAATGTCTTTAGTTTCACTTGTTGAAAGCTCATGTCTTTTGAGGTCTAACTATGTTCGTTTCAATTCTTGCAATTAAATCTTATCTCTTTGTGACCTTTTCAGTTGGCGCAGATAATATATGCTAGTGCTGCATTAATGTCTGTGTTGGTTCCTTGTGACTCGAAACATATGAACTTTCCCACTCATATTTTGATTCGATGCAGGTTAATTTTCTTCAATTACCTTTCCAATAAGCATAAGTTTGCTCACCTCTTTAGTGGCTCAATTTTCACGGATTCAGCCTTAATTTGCAACTACGAGCAAAGGAAGCTTTTTTTTTTCTATAGGTTTAATACAACATAGGCTTGTTTTGTTTCGGGGAAACAGCTCTGGTAGTTCTATGTTCCTATTGGAGGAAAATGGTCTAGAGGGAGTATTGAGTAGAATAGTAATATTACGAATGCAGTATTAAAATGCTTATTATCTTCAATATGGTGAGCTCTGTAGCCATTTTGAAAAGTAAGCTCAAAACATTAATTTTGAATTATTCATGTTGTGCCTGCAAGATAACCACACTAAGATGAATTTCTTTTATCATTTATAAATGATCAAATTCAATTTCACACCACTGTTCCCCTTCCGTATGTGGCTTCATTTTTCATTAGTTAAGTATGTGGTTTCATTTTCAATTAGTAAAATGGAAAATAGCTTTGAGATGTTGCGTCCTATGATCAGTGACATCTTATGATCTCATGACTTTATTGACTGGTTTACTGGAAATAACACTTGCAGGTAGTTTATTTAAGTATTTCTGAACAATTTATTTATGTATGTACATTAGAGGGTGAAATAAAGAGGGTCAGTCTCTTGAAGTACGAGTTGTTTGAGGGGGATAGAGTTTGCTCTGATCCAAAATTGTATACTAGCTGCTGGTGAAAACTGGCCTATTTGAAATTCACGTTATCAATTTACCTGTCTCAGACTAGTTGGTGTTATTATTTGTCATGCATTATCTTTTCACTCAAAGGATCTCCAGTGATTGAATATACGTAATTTGCTTTTGATTTCATCTTGTGTTTTGAGAAAGAAAAAGGGGTCTCTTTCCTTTTGTTCACTTGGCTTATGCTCGCTCTTTGTGAATGGTTTTTACGTTTTCTCATGCTCTGTCCTGCGATATGAATCCATGACCTCACTGATATCTGTTGCCGTTGTGAGTTTTCTGCTATCTATTCAATTAAGTGATTACTAGTTAATCATAGTATAAATTATTAAAAATATGCTAGAAACTTTACTTCTTATATATGATACGTTCTTAACCTGCATTGCTTCCTAGAGAGTTGTCAAATATTTGTTTTGGCTGATTCACTTAGTTCAATTAGCTAATTTGCTTGTGCCGCTTTCTATTTAATTTTCTTTCTTCCTGTTGCTCAGGCTTAATCTGAAACCGTAAAAATCAGAGAGAACCCGAGGGAAAAAACAAAAAGGTAATGGCTAAACCATCACAACCAATTCAAAATGAGAAGGAGGAGATAAAAGAGATTGATACTGCGACATCCACCAACAATAATGAGAGCAGCAAAAAGAAGGTGACAAGAAAGTTGCCAAGTGCGAGAGAGCTTGTATCACACTATGAATCACAAGGCATTGACTCTCAAGAAGCTTCCTTTAAGGTCATTGAGGATCTCCAGGGTGCTCTCTTCAGGGTGATCAGCACTTCTCGAAATGACAAGAATCGCAATAATAATAGGAATGTGTCATCTGAAACCTCTAGAAAACTCGATATCATCAATGCTCGACTGCTCAGCCTTGACATGAAAGTTGACTCCAAGCCAGGCTATCCTCAAACCCTTGCCATCGGGATGGCCTCTGGTGGCCTTCTTCAAGTGCTCCCTCGTGTTGCAGAATCGGTCGTCCAAATTTGGAACTCTGTTAGAAATGCTACTAACTCAAAACAGTAATAGACCATAAATCTTGTTGGTTAACAATGCTGTCTTGTAGTCATGGTTTTTCTACTTCTGAAGTAGAGTTTTGTTGAACTTATGATATGCCAAAACATAGAAATTGTTCTCTTTAAGGCCCTTTCTTTTATGAACATTGTGCAACCTAGTGTCATGAATCTTTGGCATGTATCACAAATTTTGGCTGATATACAGTTGTTGTCACTCAAGATCTATGGTCTTTATCTAGACCCGATGAAAAAAGTGGGGTCACCTACATTTGTTGGTCATACTTGTACCTACTTTCTTACCAATAGTATTAGCAAGGGTCTATCGGAAACCTCTTTATTTCTACCAGATGATTCTTTATGATAGCATTAGCAAGGGTCTATCGGAAACCTCTTTATTTCTTTATTTCTACCAGATGGATGTAAGGTCTGTATACACTTTATACCCTCTCTACTCAATTTATGGAATCACACCGAATATATTGTTGATTTACCTTGCTTTAATTCTTTCCTTAATATAATCAAATATCTCTATAACAACCTTGTTTGTTCGGAACACAAGTTTTTCTTTTTCATTTTTATTCTCCACATAAACTTTTTTTTTCATTTGATATTATAAAAAATTCAAAAAAATATTTTTGTCGTATTTCCCTCATTATTAATTGTTGATAATAATACTTGGAGGCTATCACTGTCATTGTGCTCTCAAACCAACGTGGGCACACACCTAAAGAAGATAATATATGCACAAAAGAGAGTACATTTTATACACATTCATAAATTTAGTTAATCTACCCCTTCCATTTTGTACTTATCCTTTATCAACCATTCTGATCTCTCCATGTCATCACTATTTATCCTCTAAATTTTCCTTTTATATTTTTCCAATTTCCATCTTTATCCTTTTCCGCTCGCCCTCTAATAGAGAGTCTTTTCATAACAACTTTTCTATTTCTCAATATATAAGAATAAGATCTGCATATATTTCACTACATTTATTGTAATTATTTCATAGAATAATTGAGATGCTCGTAAGCTCACCCTCCAATCGAAAGTCTTTCCGAAATAACTTTTTTATTTCTCAACAGATAAGAATGACCTTCATATATTTCATTGCATTTGTTATATTATTTCGTAGATTAATCGAGGTGATAGTAAGCAACAAGTAGAAGGAAAAAGAAAGTCAATTGAGGGCATTATTGTAAATAAGTCCAAAAGTGTGCCTTATCTTTTACTATATAAACACGAGAACGTGACTCTTATAACTTTCTCTCTCCACATATACATACAAAATATACATATGTATATTCACTAGCATTATTGGGAAGCCATGGGAAATGCGAACGCCAGAGAAGACGGCGCCGTCGGCGACGGCGACGGTGAGGTGTCGGGAAGAAGATCTAATGTTGAATCTGGCATAGTAGAAGATCACCACGCTCTGACCTCGCGAGTGCCTTCGGCTGACTTGATGGTCAATTCTCCTCCGCAGAGTCCACATCGTTCAGCTTCACCTCTCTTGTTCGGACCTCAGGTTTCCATTTTTATGCTCATTATATCCTATTTATTCTACATACATATGAAACAGTATATGTGTATGTGTTTGTTTGTGGTGTTGGTGATTCAAAGGGGATTTTAAGATTTGGTGTGAAGCAGAGCTCAAATGAGGTCTAACTTGAGCTTTATATATAGTTCATTTGTTCAATATGTAGCCTTTTTTCACTTTTTTGGAGATTCAAACTAAGAATTTTTTCTTAAAAATGTATTTTTTAATGGAAGGACAGGGTTTTGATCAATATTAGAGCACTGTTAGTGTCCTATGTTAGTTGGGGAGGGGAAGGGACTTGCGATGCTTATATGGATTTTGGTAATCCTCCCTTAATGAGCTTGCTTTTTTGGAGCTGGGGACTGGCTGTGTTTATATGGATTTGAGCAATCCTCTCTTAGTGAGCTAGTTTTGGGGTTGAGTTATACTCAAATGTCATATCTTTACATGGTGTTAGAGTGGGGTCCATTCCCATTCGAGCTCCTTGCCCACGCTCCAGTTGGACCTGTGCGTGAAGGGGTGGTTAGAGTTCCACTTTGGTTTTAGAATGAACTGATGGTCTGCTTATATTAGGTTTTTGGGTTGAGTTAAACTAAGTATCATATCTTTACAAGTACCAAAAAGCACAAAGGAATGGACTTGTCTCCATTTAAGTATTTAAGTGATCTAGCAAATGATGAGCGAATGCAGTGTTAAGGTCTGTGCCATTTACAGTGTTGTCTTTTCCACATATAAAGTTTGCTCGCCATGGGGTATATACTTGAGAAAAGATGACTTGTTTGCTCTTTAAAACATCTATGACTTCTTTCTATCCAAGTGCACTTCTTACCATATTGATATGATGAGAATTGCAACTTATAGTACTTTTTGTTTTGTTTCCAAATGTTTAAATTTTAATTCCAAAAAATGAGTTGATCTAGCCTGATTTACTGCGGAAGTTAGTCACATTGACTCTTCTTTAGAAAATGTGCCGAACATATTAAGATGGAAGAAGTAATCCTTTTTAAATGGTTTAATCGTATGATGGTTAGCTAAGGTGGTGGATACGCCCATGCCCTATGCAATTACTTATGTTATGTTGCCTATCTGTATGCCTGTGATTTGTGGGGATGTGTCTGCATCTATAGGGTAGAGTTGTAAATTGATTGTAGTACTGTTCATTATATGCTTAATTGTGATTTGTTGTGTTTTCCCAATGTAGTAGCGTTGAAGTGTTCTGCTTGACACTAAATTGAAACACCTATAGGAACAACCATTACACAACTTCCTGATCCCAGATTGGTAATATGAATCCTCTATTTTCATTCCAGTTCTATTAGGTTTCATGCTATTCCTATATGAAATGCCTTTAGGAAAATGCTGGATGAATTCTTTTTTCTGTTTAGTTGGAAGCTTCCATTATAGGACTTGGTTGAGTGTTGGCCTAACCCTCTGTTAAATGGGAAAAAGGAAAGCATCTCATGGCCTGTCTATTTTTTGGGTAAAACAGACAACTAATTTATATTAGCAAGGTACATGAAAAAACAAAAGGAACTTATGCCAGATGAGCAAGCTATAAAGTTTCTGTATTAGAATGTCTTGCACTAATGACACCTAGTGCATCCGGGAGCAGGCGGCGGGTGCAGAAATGTTATGCTGTAATCCTAGTAGGGCTGGTGAAACCTTTTAGTCAATCTGTAGTCAAGTGAAAGTTGGAGTTCTCCTTTAGTGTGCGGGTTCTGCTCTGAATAATTCACTCTTGTTCACTTTGGCTGAATTTTTTGCCACCTTATATATGATGAATATTCGTCATATTTTGTAATCAACATTATCACTCAAAATTTAGGCTTTTCTAAGTGGACAGAAGGGAATAGTGTCCCTCTGAGGTTGGCCAATTACCAAAAGCAAGCACTTCTTATTTTTAGTTAACTTGGAGATAGACCAGAGCAGTTAATTGCTTCTTGGGCGCCCCAATCGTACCCCATAAATACTTACGACTGACTAATTTTGAGACTAAACTCCTCTTTATCATCCTTTTCAGGTGCCAGTAGTTCCTTTACAAGGAGGGGATGGCAATCCTGTTAGCAATCAAATGTGGGGCAATGAATGTGAGGATGCCTCTGATCATTCACTAGAGAGTGGCATACCTACTTTGATAACATGGAGTTATGGTGGTAATAATGTTGCTATCCAAGGATCTTGGGACAACTGGACATCAAGGTAAACTCTGGCCTCTTATTTAGGAGTTGAACTAGATTCAACCAAGTACTAGCTGTTGCGATGATTCCTGTTAATGGAGTTTCTGAATGTATCCACTAATGATATTTGCTTGCAGGAAAATTCTCCAAAGATCAGGCAAGGACTATACCGTTCTCTTGGTCCTTCCATCGGGTATATATCATTACAAATTCATTGTGGATGGAGAAGTTAGATATATTCCAGAACTTCCATGTGTAGCAGATGAGACAGGCGTTGTCTTTAATCTACTTGATGTTAATGTAAGTGAGAATTCTGCTTCCTGATTATTGAGGGGAAGCTGCTTTACATTTGCCTAATGAACGGATAGTTACATTATCACAGCAGAGGCATCATTGATAACTTTAGCACATTGATGCATAAACATGTGTTTTATAGTCTATATACCTGCTGTTCCCTGAGAATTTGTTTGGCTCATAACACAATTCGCATCCTTCCTACAGGACAATGTTCCAGAGAACCTCGAAAGTGTTGCAGAGTTTGAGGCCCCACCATCACCTGACTCTAGCTATGCGCAAGCTTTGCTGGGAGATGAGGATTTTGCAAAGGAGCCAGTGGCAGTTCCACCCCAACTTCATCTAACTGTTCTTGGTTCTGAAAACTCAGAAGAGGCACCTTCTTCTCCAAAACCCCAGCACGTAGTACTTAATCACCTCTTTATAGAGAAAGGATGGGCTTCTCAATCCGTCGTTGCTCTTGGTTTAACGCATAGATTCCAGTCCAAATATGTCACCGTTGTCCTCTACAAGCCACTGAAGAGGTGACCAGCCCGTGTTCACAATCAAATCTTTCCAGAGCTTTCTCCTTTAAGATTTCCACTGTTTATAGACATGCTCAACGTTGAAACTTCCTTTAACCTCTCTTCTCTGTTGTACAATAGTTTCAAGTTTTATCAGCAATGCATATTCTCCTTTCTTCACCTTCTTTTTTCAGTGATTTTATGTTCACAAAAGGATTAATGTGCAAAATGAAAAGAAAATATAGTTAGCTCGATTTTGAATCTCATTCACCATCAATGCATCTTTTGGAGGACAAGAATAAAATAATTTTCTGTCGTGGAACAAAATATTTCTTGTCTCTTCCTCGAATAGATTCTTGTTTTTTGTGGTTTATTATTTTGGAATTTCAATGAATTAATTGCGGATGGCTCATAAGATTTTATATTGCATATAACTTATCATTAAAGGTCATCTCACCCTCAATTTTCATGGCCAAATGATGCTACACACTTTATGCAAACAGGATTTAACGATAATGCGTCTACAACTTATTACATCTTTTCCTTAAAGAAATAACAGTAATATGATTAGTGATTATTTCTTCTTCTGTTATTCCTTTGACTTCGCTGCTTCTTTCTCCTTCCCATCATTATTTTGTGCTCCAGCTCTACAATGATTCTTGCAAACCATATCGGTTTTCCAGTTGACATCATGAAATATACTATGGATATTCCAATACATAGTCCACTTCCATACCCCATAAGAGCAGCTTTCCGAAAATCACTCAGAAATTCAGAATTGCTTTCTTCATCATCTACGGCATAATTTTTCCCTGATACATGATCATTGCCACAACTTATTGAAACTGGAAAACCACGTAATCCATCATTGCCTTCATATGAATTGTTCTCAAAGGTCTGAAATTGATTTCCATGAGGAATGCACCCTTCGAGATGATTGTAGGAAAGATTTAAGACTGCAAGAGAAGTAAGAGAAGCAAATTGTGCTGGTATCTCTCCTACAAGATGGTTACTTGATAGGTCCAGTGATTCAACCAAAGATAAACTTCCAAGTGATGACGGTATATGACCTTCCAATCCATTATGAGATATATTCAGCACACGGAGTGCAATGAGATCTCCCATAATAGTTGGAATATGTCCTTCAAATTTGTTCTTTGAAAGATCGATAGTGGTGTACAAAAACAAGATTCTCACAACTTCACGCTCATATCCCTTGGATACGACAGCTATCGAGTCTTGGTAATATCGATCTGCACCATATCTTGATGCTTCCAATGATAGATCAATTGTCCTCATGGCTTTCAGATGTTGAAACAAACTCGAAGGTAAGTTTCCTGAGAAGGCATTGTAAGAGAGATCTATGATTCGAAGCTCTGGAAACATGTTCTCAATCCTTGATGTTCTGATGGGACCATGCAATTTGTTGAATCGCACGCTTAGAACTTTCAGCTTTGGTAGAGTCCCCAACCACACGGGGAATGTGTCGTTGAGGTGATTGTCTCCTAAATCAAGAACTTCAAGTTGTTTGCAATTGGTCAAGGATTGTGGGATTTTCCCCTCTAGTTTGTTGCCATGCAAGTTGAGGCTGCTCAGTGAACTTCCATTGCTGAAAGTTGTTGGAATATTCCCAGAAAGATTGTTGTGGCGCATATCCAAAACCTGGAGGGCAGTAATATTACCCAAACATTGCGGAATTGCTCCCTTCAAATTGTTTGTCGCCAAATCAAGCATTACCAGTGTTGTCAAATTGCAAATAGATGAAGGAATTTCTCCAGTGAGACTATTATTAGATATGAAGAAGAATGTAGTGGAATTTGATGGAATGGGTAGTGATCCTTGAAGCAAATTGGACCGCAAATCAATAGTATCTGCAAACTGAAGAGGAATTGAATCCACACTCGTCAGCATATTGTGGGATATATTAAGATCTTGCAATGAAACATCCAGTTAGACCATGCCCAATCAGGAATTCTTCCTTGAATCTTATATTTGAAAGATCCAACTGCCAAAGCTTCTTTGCGGATCTTAGAAACTCCAACTCTTTCACTTCACATGCGGCCAATTCTAACGTATCAAGAGATTCGGGCAAAGTAACGTTGTTGTCATTGGTCAATGAGATATTATTATATGAAAGACGAAGTTCCACAAGCTGTTTAAGGTTTGAAAAGAGGCTGACATCCACGCGACCACTAAAATTATTGAAAGAAAGATCCAAATGCCGAAGAAGCTTTGCGGATCTTAGAAACTCCAACTCTTTCACTTCACATGCGGCCAATTCTAACGTATCAAGAGATTCGGGCAAAGTAACGTTGTTGTCATTGGTCAATGAGATATTATTATATGAAAGACTAAGATACCGAAGCTGTTTAAGGTTTGAAAAGAAGCTGACATCCACACGACCACTAAAATTATTGAAAGAAAGGATAAGGCCTGTTAGGTTCACAAGGTTTTGAATTGAGTGGGGAAGATGACCCTGCAGCTGGTTGCCCTCTAAATATATCGAGATTAGTGAATTGGACTTTAAATCTTCAAGGGGACCAGATAAGTGATTATTACTCAAGACTATTGTATTTAGTGATGGAAGGGATAACATCCCTGATGGTATTGTTCCATTCAGGGAGTTATATGAAAGGACCAAATACTCAATGCGGGTGAGATTTGAAAGAGATTCAGGAATAGGCCCTCTAAGGTTGCAACTTACAAGAGACAAATAACGCAGCGAAGTTAGATGATAGCCAATAGACTCTGGAAAATTATCAGAAAAATTCACCATACTGAGATGTAACTCTATGAGAGATGCACTGCTGTTCCATTTGGCCTTTGGAAAATAACCATTGAGATGAACATTGTAACTTAAGTCAAGTATTTCCAAGTTGGGCAGGTGAAATATACTCTCAGGTATTATCCCATACAATCCTGTTTCTGACAGCCTCAGAGTCGTGAAATGAGAAGAAAAATTCAGAGGAATGGTGGAAGAGATGTTTACTTGAGTAAGATCAAGCTCTCTTAATTGGGTCAAGTTCTGAAGAAGCGATTTAAAATCATGGGATGTGAGTCTTAGCTCCTTAGTGTAAAAGTTAAAAAATGTGGAGATACGAAGAGAGTGTAACTTGGAAAG